GGGTGTCATCCTTTATATATAATCCTGCCACCTAAAGAGTGGTCGAAGAAGAAAGCATCCATCATCTTCTTCTCTTCCTTCTCATCACCATCATAAATAAAGTTGCCTAATACTGCCGACAACTACCATCCTAAGGTTTCCTTACATAAACAATTAAGCTCCAGCTGCAGGTATGTATATATGGATTCATTCAATTTTACTCTTTATTAAGACTTTCTTAAACAGGAGAATTCTTCTTGTACACACTTTTTTATTACTCACTTCCACACGTTGGTATGAAGTTTTTTTGTCCATGAATAGCAGCCTGTTTTGAATAGGTTATTCACGGACAAAGAAAAACATTCACCAACGTGGTAAAGAGTGTGTGCAAAAAAGTGCTTACAAATGTTTTTTCTTTTAAATGTCAGTTCAATGATATGCTACAAAGTACAAACAGTAGCTTAAAGTTTTTCTCTCAGGAATATAAATGTTTATACAACCAACTGAACCAGGGGGAAATAATGTCAGCGCCAGAGGAAAGCTATGGCTTATACAACCAAGGGAGCAGTGGCTGGACATCTTTCGAAAAGGAAGACCTTCCATATGAAGAAGAAGATGTTTGGAATGTCGGTTTCCATGAAAGGAATAAACTGAAGAGCACAGCAGCCAAACCAATCCCAATAGGTCGCTCCCAAAGAGAACCAAACAAGAAGGCCCATCGACAGTCAGCCCCTGTCCACATACCTGACTGGTCAAAAATCTACGGAGGCGGCGGCAGCGGTGGCTCTGAAGTAAGAAGTAGCTGGGAAAGTGAGGAAGAAGAAGGAGGTGAGGGTAAGGGGATGGAGCCACCGCATGAATGGCTTGCCAGGAAGCATGCAAGGGATCATAGGATTTCTTCTTCCTCTGTTTGTGAAGGTGTTGGAAGGACTCTTAAAGGCAGAGACCTTAGCAGAGTGAGGAATGCTGTTTTGACCAAAACTGGTTTTCTTGAATAATTAATCATTTGCCATTCCTCTTTTCCCTTTGTATATATTTTCTTAATTAATGTTCCTCTTTGAATGTATGTAGACTAGCTGGTAGCTATTGTCTTTGTCAAGAATCATCGTTATTGTGAATATGACTGGTTGGTAAAATAAATTGTAAAGCAAATCAATATTTGATCATAGCTTGCGTTTCACATAATCCTGTATGCATGTACTGGTATCAGTATGCCACTGGTGTTAGTGATTTTGTACTGAAAAGCGCAACCAATAATGTTAGCTTTGCCCTAAAAAGCTTAAGAAAAAATTATGGAAAGTGACCCCCATTAGAATCTCATTAGAATCTTCTTTTACAATCCATTATGTAAATATATGTCCACCCATCCGAACAGGAGCTTCGTTTGGGGTGGTTCTCCCTAACAAAATTTGATGAAAATTTGTGAGAATATTATTCATGAAATACATATTATGTCCATAAATTTTCATCTTAAAATTCAATCAAAAAGTTAGTGAAATAAATTATTAAAACACTGCATTTTATATATATGTGTGTCTATTTACGCAACGTTTTTCAATAATTTGTTTAATCGATTTCCTAATTGGATTTTAAACTGAAATTTTATACACATAGCCTACACATTATAAAAAAACATTCTCACAAATCTTCATCAAAAAAATCTCACTACAAATAGGCATGGACTGGTCCCGTGCCGGACACTGGGCCGGTCCTGACCGGGCTTTTTCTGGGTGGCAACAGGCCCGGAACCGGCCCGGGAGTCCACCGGGTCCGAGCCGGTTCATGTTTTTTCTTTTTTTGCTTTTCTACTTAACCCCCATCCCCCATCCCCCCCAAAACACTCAGCCCAACCCGACTACAACCCAAAAAAAAGAAAAAAAAATCTAGGCCCGAATCGGGCTCGGCCCGACCAGGCCGGTTCTAAAGGGAGTTCAACCCGAAACCGCATCGCCCTAACTCATCGGGCCGGTCCTAGACCCAGAACCGGTACCGTTTTCACCGGGCCGATTCGGTTCCGCACAGTGGCGGGCCGTGCCGGTTTCCGGGCCAGTTAGGCCGGAACCGAGCCTTCCATAACTACAAACCACCAAAATGATGGTAAATGGGCGAAGGGTCTTGTCCATCCAGCTGGACAAGATCATCATTACTTTGTAAATATAAATATATAAATAAATATATTACTCTATTCAATCCGGACTATAAAAACCAACCTGTCTCGTCCCGGGACCTTGTCCGCTCGCAATACATATTAACCCTCATGACTTCATGTTCGAAAGGAAAAAGGGTCATATAAACCCATCTACTATTTCAAAAACATCATATAGGCCCATATACTTAAAAAACAATCACACATATACATCTACTATTGAAAAACAATCAAGGAGGTCCAATGACTTGTTAGCAACCTGTGATAGCAGGTCACCATCATTATTTTAACTTTTTCCTTTTAATCTTTCCATTTCTTTTGTCTTACGAGTTACGGTTGCAACATTCTTCGTTGCTTGTTTCATTTTGATTTTTTCCATTTTCCTTTATTTTTTATTTTTCTTCTTAGTCATCCTTCCTAGACTCCCAGTCATCCTCTACACCCATCTCCTATGAATCATTTCCTTCGAATCATCTAAATCATACGGAGAATAAATCTAATGTTTTTTTTCCTTTTATTTCATTATATCTAACATTTTCAATTCTTCCACAATATTTCAATAATACGGAAATTACACTTTTAATTCATTATTTATTATTCATATTGAGATGTAGGGCCCGTTTGAGGGGAAAATATATAAAATATATTTTATTAATAAAATAAAGAAAACATTATATGAAAAATAGTTAAAATGATTCTCTACAATAACTTCAGTTCATACATCCAAAAAAGTAATTTCAACTTTACTTTCTCTTATTGTTACACAATTTAGCGCATGAAATCAATCGTTATGTGTTTGGTAAAAAAAATTGTTGATACATCTGATAAGCCGAAAAGCAAGGTTACCAAACCGGACTCGTTCACCGTCTATTCAGTACTACGTATTATACTACATCCATCCCATAAAACTTTGTCAACTTTTCCTTTTTTTCATCCAAAAAAACTTTGATATTTCCCTTTAAAGTAATAAATAGGTGGCTATAGTTATTTCTTTGTCCTTTGTACAAATATCAATCACACAGTTTTTACTTTATTAATCTACGTGCAAATCATCATTGGCCAAGTTTAATGGGACGAGGGAGTAAATGTTACTCCCTGTTACTGTCTAATTTAAAGGAAATATGGTTTTCACCGTTAAAATCAGATTAAGAGCCCGTTTGGTAACACAAAAATCGATTGATTCTGCTAAAATTTATGAAGTTATGGCTGATGTAGCTGCATTGGCTTATTCTGCCGATTTAAGGAGAAAAAAATTTAAAATATATTTTATTATTAAAATAATGAAAAAATTATATGTAAAATAGTTAAAATAGTCATCTACTGTAACCTCAGCCAATACAGCCAGAAAAGTAACTCCAACCTTATTTTTTCTTATTATTACACAATTCAGCGCGTGAAAACAAAAATCACGTGTTTGGTGAAAAAGTTAGCTGATAAGCTAGATAAACCGAAAAACAGTGTTACCAAACGGCATCTAATAACGTTTATTTCTTTTGCTTTTAAAACGATTAACATTGTAGTTTCTTACAGTGTCAAAAAGTTATACAATGTTTGGGTAATTTTTAAAATCCTTTACATTGGCATCTTTTGTCTCTAAATATAGTTGATAGAAAAACAATATTGGTCTAAGAAATGCAATTTTATAATTTATATTGACTGATGGCCATGTTTGACAAATTACATCTTTTAAGAATGAAACTATTTAAAATATACAAAAATAAGGAAATGTTCTTTTTTAGAAATACCTTCATAAAAGTATAACATTATATTTTTTTACAAACATATTAATTTAAACCATTGTTCAAAGTTTATTGTTGTTGACTAAGAAAAGTAAATTTGGCCATTTTTATGTGACGGAAGTACAAGTTTTGTACACATTTCAAAATTATTCGCACCGGTAAATTGTTTCAAAAATATTTTGATAAATACCACATTTACAAATTTTGAACACAATTACAGTCACTAAAAGTGACTATGGGCATGATGTAAACTTTGAAATGTTATAGTCACTAAAAGTTATGAAATCACTTTTTTGTCCATCACTTTTCCAAAATACTGGTGAAAGTTTTCTTGTCTTTTGTACTCGCAATATAATTATGTCTTTAAAATTAAGTCACATAAAAAATATGCATGTCTATCGAGAAAATGTGTATAAAAATTACGGAGTACAATTTTTGTCCATGCCTAAAAACGTTTTACGTATGTGTTATGCACTTATTATGAGTAAATCATTTTTTCTGATCGATCTTGTCCAGTTCAAAAGATTTTGAAAATGTACATAAAAGTTGTACAAATTTTAGCCTTTGTGTGTGCACTAAACATTTAGTATTTCGAAGGGAGAAGAATAATAATTATAAAATGAAAAAGGAGATGATAAACGAAAAAGAGAAAAACTGAAGACAATAAATTAATCTAGGGAAATGCAAATACAAATGAAAGATAGAATGAAGAAAAGGATAAACAAAAGGAAAAAAAAAAGTAGACAAACGAGCTACTCCACTTTGAAACTGAGAAGGGGCAACTGGGCAAGGGAGAATGGAGAAGAAAAAGAAAAAGAAAAGCATTTACCTACTATTACCTGTTAGTTTCAGGTCACATGGTCTCATTGATTGTTTTTCAATAGTAAGAGTGTCTAAGTGATACTTTATTATGCAAAAGGGAAGTGATGGTTTTGCATTAGTAGAAGGGCTTATGTGACCCTTTTCCCTGTTCGAAATAATGAGTATAAATTTATCAGCTATATGCTTATATAGTTATACCGTAAACTCAGGAAACAAGATGACCAGAAGAGAGGGAAGAGCAAAAAAGAACAAACGAAATCTATCATCAATAAATAAATGAACACCACAGAAGCAAGTCATCTTCTCGGAGTTTGGCCAAAATGATAACTTTTTAAGTGTAGACATATTCATTTGACACACCTTAATTATATGAACTTGGGTGTCACTTGACAGGTTTGAAAAACACTCATTTGGGCCCTTTTCCTTTATTATTTACTACAAAATCTGCCCGCCTACCTAGACCATACAACAATTGCACAAGAACAATGATAGCAATCTTCCTGTGAACGGTTTTACAAGAATGCTGATTTCCATTTGGGAGTGGCCTACATAAATAACCTCTAACCCAGATACTAGAATAGTATTACAACCCGCCTACCCCCCTGAGGCCCTTTACAAAAGCTGCACAATCCTATCACCATAATCTATTCGAACCTCAGACTAAAATGAATACTTTTGCACAATAACAAGAATCCTGTTGCACAAAGGACCGTGAAGGAAGTCCAGTGAATGTCACCAAGGGTTCATCTTGAAAACTTCTCACAGCTGCAAGGCTAAATCTGGCTGCTGAGAATCAAGCAGAATGCCCGAAGATGCTTTGCCAGGAGACCCTGAAGATTGGAAACTAATGTTCAAGTCGGGAGGAGGGACTGATACTTGTCTTGATCTTGACAGAGCTGTAGGTGGTGCATTGAGATTCTGTCGTGAAGCTACATGGAATCTTGACAAGTCAGCAGGTGCCACGAATTGTGGGAACATCACCTGTGGTCTGTTCGGGACCTGACCATCAATCCCTGCCCCCCTTGTTGTGTGTGACATAAAGGCATGAAACGGATAGCCCCCCTTCACAGGCTGGGAATGCATCCCACCAGATGAGGGACAAAATTGTAAATTATGTGGCTGGAAATCACGAGATGGATTATACAAGGACTCAGCAGATATCTGACCATCATTGACTTGTTTAAAACCACCCGAAGCTCCTATTGACATCCATGCTCGTGCAGCAGCGGCGGAGGCAGCATTGTTTGAATCAGCTCCCGGAGACTGCTGCAAAGAGTTACCTTTTGTTTTAGACTTCTTGGATAACATACTTGGAAGCTGGACAGCATCACTTAGCCCCCGCTCGCCGCCAGATGCGGGGCAAACAGTCTCATTGCTCTGACTGCTATTATCTTTACCTTTTCTATTAGGCAGTTGGGAAGGTGCAGAAGGAGACATTAGATTTCTGTTCTTTGGAGCCACCTTAATCTGTTCAACACTAGTTTGTTTGCAGGGTAGAGGTTGAGAATTTAATTCGAACTGTCTCATCAGCTTATTGGATTCAACAAAACTTTGGGATTGAAAACATTGAGGGTGGTATAGGGGACTAGCAGAATTAGGAGGTTTCTTTTCTGATGATGCAAGGAAAGATGGTTTGCTTTCAATATTGTTTGGAGTCGTGGGTTTTGAACCAACATAATCCTGCTGATTCACTTCATCTTTTTCCTTGAGTCCTTCGATATTATCTTCCTCAACCTCAACTTTCTGTGTCAATTTGGCCAGAAAAGATGGTTCCTTCAGTGTATGGTTCATCATCAATACCGGGGTTGGAAGTGGTTCATACTCACCAACCCACCCGCGACCAAACTTTGATCCAGGAGGGAGTGCTTGTTCAATCCTCCTAGATGCATATTCCCAAGCAATCGGCCCGAGTGTTGCAGCAAAACAAGCAAGGCTCCTTGCATATGAATGATCAGCATAAAGCCCCACCTAACAATCCAGATTCGATAAAATGATTTATTGTGAACAATTGTTTAGACTTAAGATGATTTATTTTTCAACAAATAAGCTTGCTGAAAGAATTTAAGTACTTTCACTAGAAAATACTACATTCGTCCCATAAAATTCTCCCCACTTACCTTTATTGTCAACAATTGCTTAGACTTAAGATGATTTATTTTTCAACAAATAAGCTTGCTAAAAGAATTAAGTACTTTCACTAGAAAATACTACCCCCGTCCCATAAAATTCTTCCCACTTACCTTTTTGGGATGTCCCAAAAGATTCTTCTCATTTCCCTTTTTTGAAAGTTTTGTGTGGCTAACATTCATTTACATTTTTCTTACTCAACCACAACTATACATTTCCACTTTATTCTCACTTTCTTAAACTCCGATTCAAGTCAAACCAGGAAGAATTTTATGGGACGGAGGGAGTAAAACTTTGGCAGAAAAATGGAAAACTTGATATTGAAACGATTAATGCTTATTTGAGAAGCTACTCATGATAAAATCATAAAAGCACTTCTGCAATAAAGTTATCATAAAAAGGTTCTTGATCGCCTACTTACTGGAACCAAATGCTTGCTTTCTGCATCAAAAGTGCAAAACACAGATTCTGAACTTGAAGTACATTGAGTTGATATGTCATAAGTTGCACGACGATTTTCATCTTGTAGAACTGACTTCCGTCCAAATCTACCAAGATGACCCTTCCCTGTTGCATTATTAAAAACACAGACAAATGTATCAAAATCACAGAAAAAGATAAGAACATATCTGGATAACTTAAAGAAAGTAGACTTAATGCACCTGAATGTAATTCTTCCTTGTCCAAGATGTCAGTCAACGAAACACCTCCCTCTATAGGCCCGTCAATGATGCTAATTCTGCCCGAGTTGCCCAGACAAGCACTTGAACCATTTTGCACATCTCCAGCATGTGCAAGAGTTGCACCAGATGAGAAATCAGAGCCAATAGGTTCCTGTGCTGTTTGGACCATATGCTTCTTTACAAGCTTTTTTACAATGGGATTGGGTTTCAGCATCTGGTCCGACTTGACCTCTTTTTCTGAACGCACTGCACGTTCAGCATTGACTCGTAACTTCTGAAATTTCTTTGTGGCTAGTTCTTGGATTGAGGAAGCCTATTCAAAAGGAAATTGCATAATAATGACCTTAGGAGATTTGAAAATGGAAACATCGAACAGAAAATGACTGAATAAATGATTGAAGTCTACCTGTTTATAATATATTGTGTCGGAGGCATTGTATTGCATCGCATTTGAACAAATCAAAAAGACATCACTCTGACGACAATTGATGATTGTTAGTATATTATGCTTATTAAAAATAAGAATGAAATGTATGAATGGACCGAAATCGCCAAAAGGTATTAAAAATGAAGAAACCAGGATACATTCGAGCTCATAGGAAATTGTAATGATTTAGGTAATGTGGTGAAATATCAAGAATCATTTAGTTTCCTATCAGTTAGAGATAAAAGGCCATCACCACTCCAAGGAGCAGAAAAATCGAATAAAATAAACCCAGGTTGACAATAGGATGCTCCCATATTTACCTCAAATTGTTCCAATGTTGCATATGATCCATTTCCCAGTTTGTTCCTGACAGTGGAAAAGTCCATAGGATGTTCAATCACATCATGATAATCTGGAAGCTGCAAAATAACCAACCCAACAAAATTATAACCCAAATTTAAGTAATAGCTTAATAAGGAAAGCTAAGCACTCACTCCCATGACCTGAAAACTTACCTCTTCGGGGTCCACTGGTTCAGCATATACCCCATAAATATCTTTCCTGAAATACAATAATGAGATAATTGTACATTAAAACAGTTAGACAGCTAACAATGAAGTGATGAACAAACACAAAGATTTCTAATTTCTTTCCAAACATTAAAGCATACTTTTGAAGCTTGTCCAGAATTAACTCAAGCATCTTCTTATCTGGTAATGAAATCCCAAAAGTACGTCTGGATGGTGTTCCTGTTCAAACAGAGGGGTGGTCAGTTGAGCCATTTCCAGAAACAAAGAGTTCATGAAACTGGTGAAAACAAATGACGCAGAAGCTACTAGACCTGGAGAAGATTCAACACTTCTACACTCTGCCTTTCTATCACGTACCTGCAGAGAGTTCAATGGAAACATTAACCTTAATGACTAATCTTGAATACGAAGAACCTAAACCATTACACGTTTCTAACACAGCAAAGGAAGCATGCCGAATGAGGTAGAAAAGACAATAGGTACTGGGTAGCATGATCAGATGATGTGTGGATTCCTTATGACACTTGACCCTGAGAGTTATATAGACACACTGCCTCCCGTTCATAGCAATTAGAAATATTAAATAGCCACTAAAATGAATTTGCATAGGCTGTGCTAGGCAGAAGTTTGGATCAATAAAAACCTCAAGGGATTGGAGTGAGCTGAATTCCTACTCTCTTTGTATATGCATAATCTCTTAGCAAATTTAACGCATAAATGATACTATGTGCCTATCAGATTTTGAAACTGTCAGCTAGGATCCCAGACAATAAGTACCTCGTAGTCATTTTCATTTTCTTCATCATCCTCATCATCATCCTCATCATTTACTTCGTATTCCTCATCGTAGCCGAATATTTTTCTTTTTTTAGATGGTTTACCATCTGCATCTCCATCGGATGCAGACGCGGCTGGAGCGTGAGACAGGTTCCGAGTTCTCCTTGGAGAGACATCGTCCTCGCCGTCGTTATCCTCACCCTGGAGCTGGAGCAGTTGCTCAAGCTTCTTCTCTTTCCTGCTATCGTCCTCATCGTCGTCGTCAAAGTAATCGTCGTCGAGGAAATCGTCGAAGTCGAAAGTGTACCGGACATTTCTCCGGCGGCCACTACGCCGGAGTTCTCCCTCCGCCTCACCCACAGCAGCGTTGTTGCGCGCTGCGAGATCCGACTTCGATGGACGGCCTTTCTTCCCCCGCCTCACGATCTGGCCCATCCTTTTCGGGTTTCGTCTTTGTATTTCTATCTCTACGGCTTTCTCTCTCTAAAACCCTGAATCTAACTTTCTCTCTCTCTCCCCCTAAATCCTCTCCATCACAGTTCTTCTCTCTCCTGCTTTACTCGATAATCATTCATCTAGTGCGTTTTGCTTTTTTGCCATCCGTACCTCAGGCTCGGGTAGCGATGGCCTGCATAAAAGACGGCGTTAATATGCTGCTCGGTGGGTTTAAATTATGCCCGCGGTTGAGTTCAATTCATTAACATCAACTAAAAAATAATGAGATTTTTGTAGAAAAATTACGAGTTTTTTCCCTAATTAATGTTAATTAATTAATTAATTACGAAAATAGGGTTGGGTTAAAAGTATTTACCAAAATACTGCTGGGTTAACCATGGTAGGGGTAAGTCGCCCAACGGTTGGGCGACTTATAAGTCGCCAAACGGTTTGGCGACTTATAAGTCGCCCAACCGTTGGGCGACTTACCCTTTAAGTAAAAACGGGGTCCTCCCCCAAACAGAACACTTCGCAACTGCAGTCCCAAAATCCCTCTTGCGCAGCACCTACGGCAGACGAAGGAAGAAGACGACCGAGCTCCTATCCAACTCCGGCGAAGCTCCATCTCCAGCCTCCCCACTCCGGAAAACCTCCATCTTCATCTTCAACACAATCTTTACTCCTTATTCTAGGTAAATTCAAATCCATTTCATCTAATTTTGCACCTAGGGTTTAGAATGTTAAATTTTTGAATTTTGGGATTATGAATTGATTGTGAATGAAGTTGTTGTGAAATGTGGATATGTATGAAATGTTGACATTTGATTTTAAATTAATTGTAAAATGTTGTGTGTATTTTGACATTTGGGCATTTGGGTATAGTTGAATGTACCTAAATTTGGGTATTCAAAGGTAGACATTGAATGTAGATATCAAAATTTGGGTAGTTTGTTATTGAAATGTGAATTGTTTGTGAATTTGGAGTTAATGATATATTACAATTTTGGAAGCAATTTCTATTAAAAATGTGAATGTGTATAAAGTGTGTATATTGATGCCTACTCATGAATGTTGGACAATGAGTTGTTATTAGAATATGGATTTCTCAAGCTTCCCACTCGTGTGTCATTGGGGAGGGAACTATTATGAGAATGGTGGGCAAATATGCCATGAAGGTGGCAGAACGAGCTTTGTCATGGTTTCTCGTGGCGCTTGCATGCTCGAGATCCTTCAAAAAATACATGAAGCGACAATGATTCATCCCGGCAGTTCGTTGCGGTTGAAAATGAAATTTCCCATGAACGGGGGAAAGTACATGCTTATGCCGCTCATTGATGAGCTAGCTATAACAAATATGTGGGGCATAATTCAGATGGAGGATATGTCGTCGCTGGAGGTATACATTGAGGAATGCTTTGACGCTAATGCTACTCAATCGACATCAAATGCTGGTGTATCTAGGCTTGATGTCAGTGCAGGGGTGAATGCAGGGAAGTCGTCAAAGGTTCCTGTACTAGACATGGTTATACAGGAGGATGGCAGGTATTTGCACAACGGTGCGTCATATGTGGATGGGCAGGGAAGTGATGATGATGCAGACGAGAACATCAATGGTGACGACATGACAGAATCTGATGAAGATGATGGTGATACTGTGACACCAACTGCCCCGTCTAGTCACTTCACTAGAATGTATGATCTCCCTGAAGGTTTTACTGATGCGTGGATGAGTGGATCAGGTGAGAAGAGGTTTACTCCCGATGGTGAGTTTGAGGTCGGTCAACAGTTTGACAACAAAGAACAAGTCATCAATATGGTGAGCTTGTATTCTATCAAACGAAACCAATTCTATCGGGTGATAGAGTCCGATAAACACAAATGGGTGGCACAATGCAAAAGGAAGAAAGAATGTCAATGCCCCTGGAGAATACGCGCCACAAAGAACAAAGGCAACCTTGACACCTTCACAATTGTGCGTTATTCTGGACCTCATTCTGCTTCTTGTGTAGGCAACATCGACACTACAGATCACGTGGCCTTGACATCAGAATTCATCTGTAAAGATGTGGTTGACATTATTCGCACTGATCCTTCTCTTAAAGTGCATACTATCATCGAGATGTTGAAGGAAAAATATGGGTATACTGTATCTTACCGGAGAACATGGATGGGGAAGCAAAAAGCCATAGCACAAATATTTGGCAGTTGGGAAAAGTCATATTTCGAGTTGCCCCGTTTCATGACAGCGCTCCAACATTCTAATCCAGGAACTGTTGTTCAGTGGTACCCACCCCCCAATGGTGCGACAGGTTATATGATGTTTCAAAGAGTTTTTTGGGCATTTAAGGCATCTATATCTGGTTTTAAGCATTGTCGACCCGTACTTACTATTGATGGAACACACATGTATGGAAAGTACAAGGGCACATTGCTCGTGGCCATGGGTTGTGATGCGAACAACCAAATTTTCCCAGTCGCCTTTGCAGTTGTTGAATCGGAGAATGGAGACAGTTGGCCATGGTTTATGGCATGTATTAGGCATTTTGTGACTAACAGGGAGTTGTGTGTCATTTCAGATAGACATGGAGGTATTGTTAGGGCAATGAATGAGGTGGGAAGTAATTGGGAGGAGCCTTATGCGCATCATAGGCTATGCATCCGTCATCTTGCTTCAAATGTGCACACTCATTTCAAAGACATTCATTTAAAAAATCTATTTGTGTGGACCGCACGACAACATCAGAAAAAAAAATTTGATGGTGGGTTCAAGAAAATAGGTGAAATGAGTAGGGATGCACGACAATTTTTGGCCAACATTCCTCCAGAAATGTGGTCGTTGTACAATGATGGCGGGTACAGATACGGTACCATCACTTCAAATCTGGCTGAGGTTTTCAATAGCGTCATGAAAAATGCTAGATATTTGCCCATTACCGCCTTGGTCCAGGTGTCTTTTTACCGGGTTAATGCGTACTTTGTGAATAGGCGTGAAACTAGTAAGTTGAGGCTCACACAAGGCCACGAGTACTCCCCATACATCACAGATTTAATTGAAAAAAATAGAGAGAAGGCAAAGCATCACATTGTCACTCCTTTTGATTTAGGGCGAGGTATATTTCAGGTGGAGACCGGTTGTGGTGGCAGAACGTTGGGAAAGGGTGGGAGAAAACAAACTGTCCATCTACAACGGAAAACGTGCACTTGCAAAAAGATGGAGATATACAAGATTCCTTGCTCCCATGTATTAGCCGTGTGTAGACAACGTAGTTTGTCTTATGCTCCATTTGTGGATAAGTTCTTCTCTTCTGACCAATACGCCGCCACGTATCATAGGGTGTTCAAACCGATTCCTGATCGTGATTATTGGCCAAATTACAATGGACCCGAAATCGTGCACGATCCATCCATGCGTCGGGCAAAGGGAAGACCAAAGTCGACCCGTATTAAGAATGAGATGGATGAAGGCCCACGAGGAACGGTTAGATGTGGAAGATGCCACCAAACCGGCCATAATAGAGCGACATGTGCAAAGAGATCATCTAGACAAGAGGGGGGGTCCGCCGGGTATGTGTATATTTAGAGTCAATCATAATTCATTATTTCCTTGCATGGAAAATTAATAAATTCAAAAAAGGAAGTTAAAAAAAAATTAATACATTATACAATTACAATTTACAACTAATACAATTAGAACTAATACAAATTTTGTTTGTAGGCATGGAGGTGATAGCGGATCCTGGGCCGAGTGATCCTTCTGTCCTGACACTGCAGGCCTCACACAGGAGTGAGGATGTTTGGCTTGGCATGGATGTGCAGGTTGATAGGTGTCGCGAGCATCTGCGGGGTTTGTCCCATTTACATGTCGACCCCAGAGTCCTAGCATATGTTCGTGCAGCAGGTTTTTTTACACTGCACAGGTTAGTGGCTACTGTGCCTTTAGATAGAGCCCTCCTCACTGCTCTACTTGAGCGTTGGAGGCAGGAGACACATTCATTTCACCTCCCTGTTGGTGAGGTCACTGTGACATTGGGAGATGTGGCTGTACTGACTGGGTTAGAGGTTGATGGGAGAGCTGTTACAGGCACTGCTTGTCGACAGTGGGTGGATGAGTGTGAGAGGTTGTTAGGCATCCGCCCCGTTCTTAGGGCTGACCTTCAGGGGTCATCTCTTAGGATGCCATGGTTGAGGGAGCACTTCCAGGCCCTTCCTCCCGACGCTGATGAGATGATCATCCAGCAGCATGCTCGGGCGTATATATTGATGATGATGGGAGCCTCCATTTTCGCTGACAAGAGCGGAAATGAGGTTCAGGTGCTACACCTGCCTTTGCTGGAGAGGTTTGATGTAGCAGCACAGTTTAGCTGGGGTAGTGCCACCCTGGCTTATCTCTACAGGCAGCTGTGTCGCGGGTGCCAGAGAGGGAGCACAGAGCTGGGGGGATTTTTGCTACTCCTCCAGATTTGGTCATGGGAGTATATCCACATTGGCCGTCCCATTATAGTTGGATATCATGGCATTGATGGACAGCCACTGCCTGATGAGCCTCCACGTCTGCTAGGACCACATCATGTACGGGGCGTGGACCCTCTAGGCCGTCGGTATGTTTTCAATCGTTTGTATTTGTGTTAGTTTTTGTTGAATGTAAATGCATTAATAAAATCCATATTATTGATATTGTAACATTAATGGTTAGGTGGCTATATGCTGGTTTATCTCGCATGTCATCCGCTACTGGTCTCGGTGTGTACAGGGATGCATTGGATCGGATGTCAGAGGACCAGGTATGGTGTGTGTAGTATAACAGTAACTAGAATAGGTGTAGAATAAATACTAATTTTGTATGTTTACGAAACAGATCACATGGATGCCGTATAGACCTGATATGTTAGCAGAGTTGCCCCCAGCTGGACGAGAGCAGACTCACATATGGCGAGCACGTGTGCCGCTGATATGTTTTGACATTGTTGAGCTTCATTTGCCTGATAGAGTCATGCGACAGTTTGGGTTTGAGCAGGTCATTCCACGTCCTATCGACACTTATGTAGAGCTGCATAAGCTGGATAGGCGTGGGAAGCATACAGAGGATTGGGCACTCAGACATGTCCGATACGTGACTATGTGGGATAGGAGAGCTGAGCTAGCCGTGGCTGGGACACCCACATATGTGCCATCAGTTTCAGGAGATTACATGGGATGGTACTACAGCATCACTCGGTTGTTTGTGTCTCCTTCGTTCAGACTCCCTACTCATCATTATCAGCCTAGCTCATTGGCATTGCATCTTACGGTGAGTATATTACTAATTAGTAAAGTAAGTCATTTTATTTATGTAATACTTGTATGTATTTGAATGTAATTGTAATTGTGTTTCGTATTGCAGACCCGAGCTTTGCAGCGCATACATCAGCGGGCTACTGCCACTGTGACTGATATTCCTGATGTGGACATGTATGGACAGACTCTGACAGGCATTGCCTCGTTATGCTCAGATGTGTTGGGTCGAGTAGACTACGGACATCTTATACACATGCCCGCATCTCAGGAGATGGCATCCACGTCTAGTGCAGCTGCGGGTTCATCATCCCAGACGCAACATGAGAGAGTGGTTCTTCAACCACGACAACGCCGTAGGCGTAGACATGAGCAGCAACATCTCCATGACGAAGCTGATGATGGGAACTTGTAGTTTGTCTTTTGTATTGTAGTTTTTCTTATGCAATAGATGTTGTAGGAACAATTTACAAGTTTTGATGTATTTTCTCTTGTTAAGTATTCTATGTTGTATTGATGTGTTCGAGTATGAATATTACATGATTATTTGTTATGGCATATATGATGATTGAACTGTGTTATACCGGTTATGATTTGAAAGTTTTTTAGCGGTGTTTATAAGGTGTTTTTTATGTTGTTGAGAGTATGTGATTATCATGTGTTGTATCTAGTTTGTAACACTTCAAAAGGAGAAAGGAGACCTTATTTGTAGCAAACAGATCGGTCTGGATTGAACCGGGGCGAAAAACAAGCTGATTTGGTGTTTTAGGTAATAGGCACGATCGTGCGTAAGGAAATACGCACGATCGTGCGTGGCTGGCAGTAGCTGCTCGGTAGAAACCATATTTCAGGGCAAAGTCGCCCAACCGTTGGGCGACTTATAAGTCGCCAAACGGTTTGGCGACTTATAAGTCGCCCAACGGTTGGGCGACTTTGCCCTGACCACGGTTAAGGCCCAGCAGTATTTTGGTAAATACTTTTTTTCCAGCATTATTTCCGTAAATAATTAATTAATTAACATTAATACGGAAAAAAACTCAAAAATTACTAATAAAAAATTTATGGACAAAAAATAATTACTCCCTCCGTCCCCTTTTAAATGTCTTTGAAGAGGGTGGTACGAGTTTTAAGAAAAGTAGATTTGTGTGGTGGATGTTAATTGATAAAATAAAAATAAAGTAAGAATGATTTTGAATCACACAAACTTTACCAAATAAGGTACTACTTCCGTCCCATTTATATTGGGACGGAAGAGGGTGACACGGTTATTAAGAAAAGTGGGTTTGTGTGGTTGATATTAATTGATAAAGTAAGAATAAAGTAAGAATGATTTTAAGCCACACAAACTTTGCCAAATATGGTATGAGACAATTTAAATGAGACTTCCCGAAAAGGTAAAACGGGACAATATATATGGGACGGAGGGAGTATGAGACAATTAAATAGGGACATACCAATATGATAAAACAGGACATTTAAAGGGACAGGGGGAGTATAAGGTACTATTGAGGTTTACTCTTTCAACCCACAGGCCCAACACGCAACATATGAGTTTCGAGTGAGAGTATATGTGAATATAAGATAATACGTAGTAGCAAGTAAGATGAGTTTGGAAGTATCTGCAACAGTGAGTCGTATCTTATAAAGTGATGATAATAAGCTGGATACAACGCACTAATGCTACTGGCCGACGGGCGTTTGTCTGTCCCTCAAGTAGAAGAGTTGTGAGCACTGCTAAGAGTTATAAGAATGCTAGAATGCTAAGGCGGGTAAGTTGCAAACCCTTTACAATGAAATAAATACTGCTATTTATAATTTTATACTACCAAGGGGCAGGTGGATATGCTGACGTGGAGAGTTGTGGCCTGTGAATGGTTGGGATCTCAACCACCAAATCTTCAGCATTAAATATGTTTCCCGTCAGGATCTTGGGTTCCTGCCCAATCCATGGGGACGAGCGTCCCCTTGAGTCCTGGGCCTTGGTGTTGATGGTGCTACAAAGGGTGGGATACCGTACGTCTTCCGGTTGTTTGTGTAAGAGAATGTCGGCTATCCTTGGGCTAGGGGCTCTTGAGCTGAGGGTCCCATGTGGAGACGTGCGTCGTCATTGCCTTGGGCCCTGATGACTAACTGCCACTGATTCATCGAAGACGTTCGTCTGCCCCCCCCCCCCCCCCCCATGCTGAGCCTAGATGTTCGTCGAAGGAGGTGGTAATGGGCCGACCTCAGTATTGGACCATTAACCCAACAGGTACTCATTCAAAGCTAGATGATATAAATGGACATATTTTTTTGTGTGTGGCAAACAAAGACACTATAGAATGGTAAAAATCACATTTCTCTTCACACTCCAGAATTGATATGTTCACGCAAAAAAATGTGACTCTTTTATCATGAGGCGCATCTAGCATTGTCATTCAGGAGGGGCCAAAAATTAATTAAATAACATACTACGTATATTGCAAAAAATGTCACAATGTAGTAAAATAGTATGTCATTTAACAAAATTTATTTTTAAACATAAAATAAAATTGATTGCAAATAAATGCCAAAGACAAAATAAATATAACAGGAATAATCATTCAAAAAAATATAACAAGAATAAGAATTTGTGTCGATTAGAAAAAACCACCTCAAGCCCATACATATTGAATAAATTTTCACCTACCAAGATCAAAAAATTGAACAAATTGATTTTTCATGCTAATATTCAAAAGCCCAGGAGCGTTCACAATATTAGTATCTACCTCATTCACCATTTGAGCTTGGTGTTAAGCTTGTAGTTGTTGAATTTAGGAGACTAAGTTTAATTATACATTTTTGAAGGAAGGATCCTTGTATAAATTTGAACTCTTGACCTACAAGCTATATGTGCAACTCTGCCTCCAACATGCCAACACGGTATTCGTTGTCATATTGGCTTTCTTTGAAATTATACCATTGCATAACAACAATATATATAATACAATACATATATACTAGTAATTTTATCTTTTTTTCGAAACATCTATGTACAAATGTATTCACTAGCAGCTAGGGGAAAGGCAACAAGATGGTCTTTTCATTCTTTGCCCCAAAATTGTAAAAAAAAAAACTGCAAGATATGAGGTGCTAGTTTATTTGGTTTTCAGTGTGGTTACAATGAGTATGAAATAATTTTTATGTATGCTATCCATGAGAGATTGATTTGGGAAACATGCAATGTGAAATATTTGGTTAAAATTGGAAGATGTCTAATTGGTTTTCAGTGCGGTTACAATAAGTATGAGATAATCTTAATGTATGGTAACCAACACGAGACTGGTTTGGTAAACTTGCAAACATACAATGTTATGTGAACTATTTGGTTAAAGATGTGAACTATGCATAATTGCATATGCCCATCCATCTTACACAAAGCCACAAGGGGCCATATCTTAAGATATATGGATGGTCAGTAATGGCAATGAGAGGTCAGGTGAGTGGCCTCTTGCCGATATACTCTCTACATTTTCACCTTTGTATGGTGCTAGACTTAGAAGATCAGAAAAGCTATAAACGAAATCGGCAATTAATTTAGTCAAAAATAGAGTGAAAGTAGCAAGAACAAATTTCAGGTTGCATTGCACAAAGTGCAAAAATGAAGGGCCTAATGCAAGGAAATGTCTTAATACACCAAACATCAAAGAAAAATTGGCAATTTCCTAATATTTATTACTTACTATGACATGATTTTCATTCTTTATTTTGTATACTCAGATGTATGTCCTTGTGTATACCCTTGTATGTCTCTGATGTAACCTAAAAAAAAAGGAACTAAACCAAATCAGAGTATAGCATTATAGGGATTGAAGGTACAAATGATGTTCATGGGAATTAGGGAGCAACTACAGATGATGCGTTTGATGAGGACAACCTTGTTAATATCAATATGCAGTGTGAAAAGGACACGTCATTTGGAAGTGAGGCTCCTATTTTGCGTTTTTCAATGAAAATTCTATGTTTATTCACATAAAAACTTAGAAGATGGTAGCATATTGTATTCTTGAAATATTATAGCTCATATATATTGTTCTGCTACCAACCCAAATTCGGACAAATATAAACACAAATTTATCACAAATGTTATGATTGGTCCAAAAAGTGTACCCCACCACATATGTATGAGAACTTCATCATAATATATAATCCATATAGTATCTTTCTATAATAGAACATACACATTACGTATTACAATGCGACTTTGATTGTTATAGGCTCATATAGTCCCTTAAAACTTTGTCATCTTTTCTTTTTGGGACGTCCCAAAAAACTTTGTTACTCTCCTTTTTAATCAATTATTTTGTGGTTTCTGTTATTTCTCCCTCCTCTGCACAAACCTCAATCACACAGTTTTGATAAAGTATTTCACTCGTGATTCGCACGAGTGAGTTGTTACTTGTTAATTGTATATGAAAGGTCGGTTTGGAGATTCATTTTTGGATGACATTGTTGAACTTAACTATCATTATCAGCTTTTTATGTACTTTTAACCTATTATATATATTTGTTCCATGATAAATGTCAACATTTTTGTTGGGATGACACTCAAACTTTGACTTCTTTTGGAAGGGCCTTTTCAATTTTTAAATCATCTATTTCCTTATGTACTAATTTGATCAGTAAATTATAGTCAACGTATTTTTCATAACTCAATATTCCGCTAATTCAGCCATTTAAGACACCCTATACTAATTTTAGCAAATTTAACAACTATACTCCTAATTTTATAAATTAATGATGGTAGTGATGTGTTGGTGTTAATTCTTATTTGAATTTAATGATAATGAAGTAATGTGTTTGTTATTCGAACGTAACGATTTAAACTTAGTAGTATATTAGTAGTAGAGTATTATAATGTTATTTGAACCTAAACTGACTAGTAAAGTTAACTGTTTATCAGTGTTACACTATTTTAATCTTTTAGGAGAGTTTAGTATTATGTGTTGGAAATACATATACATAAAGCGGAAGCAATACAAGAACAAAGCAAATGAATTGTTCTATATTCCAGGACCTTCATCATATTGAATAATAGAGTATAATAAGATTACTACCTGGATCCATAGCGATGCCGCAGGAGGAATGGAACAAGGTAGATGGCGTCTGGATCTTCCTCAATTGAACCCGAGGCCTAAGTCTCTCTTCCGATGGGGAGAAGAGAAGTGAATTGGTGTAGTTCAATGTATTGGGGACCATAGCCTATTTATAGAGTGTGTTGGTCTAGCTAGGGCTCCCATTAAACCCTACCAAGCAACACGGGCCTCTGCCCATTTATTTGGCCCATACAATTTATCTTAATAGTCTATTGGGCTTAATTAGATAATATTGACCACATAAATAAAAAACCCAATTGATAAATAGCTAATACAATAATTATAATATTAGCCCATATTAATTATTGAAATAAAATATTCCAACAATCTCCCACTTGGGCTACATATTGTAATTATATTTCTTTAGGCGCGCCTTAGTATGCTATTTATCTTTAGACTTGAACTTAGTCAATCTGGTCCACCTCATGTATTAATAATGGAATTACTGCGGCTTTTGTCATATTGTTAATTCATGACTAAACCACAACAACCACCATAAAAAAATACAATTGATGACATAGATCTGTATGGGTGAGCAGCATGAAAATTACATGTGAAGTGGTCTCCATCATGCCTATTTTCAACTGGTCCAACTTTAGTCTTTATTGAGATTAACCTTAGATCTCTTAAGTGTAAATTAAATATTACACTCAACTAGATACAAAAAAATGTTAGCTATAAAGCTAATAAACTTTATTTCTGCAGAAACTTTAAATTTTGTATCAATAAATTATAAAAGATTAACTCCCACTCAACTAAACAACCTTTGGCAACCACACTCATAAGAGTTGAATGCTCATGAAAGACTTTAGGTGTTTATCCTTAGTTAGTGGGTTTGAATCTCTTACTTTAGCTTATGCCATAAAATGACCAAACTCTCAAGCATATAAGGATTATCTTAGTAAAGACTCATAACTAACAATATCTGAATTATAAAAGAGACTTACTTTATTATTTCCGAAGGAACAATAGGAACCTTATTTGTCCAACATAGAAATACTAATTAAAATACCGCCTAATAGACGGTGTAACAAAATGTCTCAATTAAAATTCAAATAAATAAAAAACAAGTCCTTATAAAATAATTCAAAAAATTCTTCTAGCTTGAACTTCACTTTATTGTCATCAGTCATCACCAACATAAATATACTTTTCAGCATCATTTGGTGGACGACTCCACAGGCAAACCCTTCTTCACACGCCAAGCGGCGTACTTAGAACACTCCCTTTTTGTGTGTCCAGATTTCTTGCAGAAAAAACAAGCAAATGCCTCACCTTGTTTCTTCGCCTTCTTCTTTGAAGAATTTTCCGCACCAACCACATGCTTCTTTCTCTTCTTATTGTGAGATGTTGAAGCAAAATGAGCACTCTCTGTCTTATCTCTCTGCAGCCTCTCTTCCTCTTGCACACAATGAGATATAAGCTCATTAAGGGACCATTTGTCCTTTTGAGTGTTATAGCTCACTATGAATTGCCCAAAGTAGGCCGGAAGAGAGATCAAAACCAAGTGAACGAGCAAATCCTCAGGTAGCTCTAACTTTAGTTCCTTGAGTTTTGACGCGAGATTAGACATCTCCATAATGTACTCACGAATGTTTCCTTTGCCAGAATACCTCATAGAGACAAGTTTAGCCAAATGGCTACTTGTCTCAGCCTTTTCATTCTTGGCAAATAATCGCTCAATTTCCATTAGAAACCTTTTTGCATTCTCACCCTCCGTAATTGAGCCTCGAAACGCCTCAGGAATGGTGCGCTTCACAATCATTAGACACATCCGGTTGGACCGATCCCACTTCTCAATTTTCGCCTCATTAGAGTTTTCTGGAGTGGAAGTGGGTCGCTCCGTCCTTAATGCCAGATCTAAATCCATGCATCCTAAAACAAATTCTACAGCCTCTTTCCAAGACTTGAAATTTGTTCCATTAAGCATCGGGATTCCATTGACTTGAGTGGTAAAATTAGGAGCATTGGCGGTAGCAACTAAAATAAAATAATAATATATTAGTATACGCTCCAAATTACAACCAATTTTGTGAAATTAAAAGACCCAAACAAGATACCAAGTGCAACATTAAACCCCAATCTTTGGATTGGTAGGAATAACTGCAATTGGTACTCTCAATGCATTAATCAAATATTGGTGATAAATCCTGTCAAATAATGGTTGCCTTTGGGCATTCCACTATTCACATGGAATGAAAATTAAAATTAAATTCTCCCTCATAATCACCACATATTTATTATTGCAGGTATGTAAATAATTCGGTCAAATTATGTCTTCCTTTGGGCCGATCATAATTCACATGAATCATCACATACAAACATCTATGATAAAAATTAATTGAATTAGTCAATCCAACAGAGGTTACTTTGGCAACATGTGGTTTAAGCTCATCCAATTAAAAAAATTATCAGACAATTTTATTTAAATGGGAGGTCTTAATTTCACATACTTTATTCCCGAACCAAAGATAACTCTCTTTAATGTTATATGCATAACAAAAAAAAAAACCGGAAGGCACAAAGTATTATCTATTGTCGAAAAAAACGAATATATGTATACTTAGATATGATCGTATGCAATTATATCATACCTATAATTAACATATATACACATGTTTAACGTAACGATTAAACCATCACATACATTTGACTGATTAAGTAAAAGCTACACGTGTGATATTTGTAACAAATATATATTAATATTTACACATACGTATGTTCATATATTCACACGTATAAAAAAAACTAAATCACAATTAACTTGATAATTAGTTTAAATATTAGCTATCTCATCACAAGATACCTAGCGCAACATCTAATCTTGTCTTTGGACATAAATTAGACTTGCAAGTGGTACTCTTGGTGAAATAATAATAAAAAAAAATTGATAATAAAATCATGTCAAATATTAAACCTTTCTTTGGACCGACTTAATATTCACATGAAAACCTCATAATTATCACAAATTTTATTATCACAAATGTACTTAAATTTCGGCCAAATAATAACCTTCCTTTGGGCCGATTATTATACGCATGAAATATGAAAGTACACAATCATCTTTATATATGAGTTAATTAATTTCAACAAGAAAGGCTACTTTGGTAGCATGTTGTGTCGATTAACCAACCCAAATATTGGACATGCTAACATTAAACTAATTTAAATATAAGGTACATATTTACTTATCATATATATACCGTACTTAACATATATAAACACACGTGTGATATTATGATGTTATTTTAACATATACTCACTTAGCATATATAATACGCATACACTTATGGAAGTTTATATATGTGTGCTGGCATGAAATAAATATCATGTAACGCATGTAATACCGTACCTTAAAAAAAAAAAGGTATATATACATACTTACACATAAATTACGCAAATATATTTACCTAACATATATATAGTACGGAGTAATTATACTATAAAATAAACTTACCATATATACATATGTATATCCGTATGTAATGTAATACTTAATGCCTTAATTAAACTTTAATATGGCATAACATACTCCATTGAACATCACGTATGATCTTACACACATATGACTAATTTTAATAACAATAAAATTCAATCGTACATGTCACATATGAATATACATTATAAAATTGAAAACAAATTAAAGTTTCAATCATGTTGAGTAAGCATGCATATGGCTAATAAAACCATAGCCTTATAGCTTTAAACTCACATAATACATAATTTTAATCCGTTAATCACAACGACCAATTAAAAAAAAAATCACATCAAAAAAAATTATATTTCTAATGAGATAGATGTTGGCCGTAATTCCATATAAGTATTTGATTACCAAAATTGGTAATCACAAATATGTACTTAATTACCAAAACCATATAAAATTTCATAAATTGAATCACCGAAAAAATGAAACATATCATAAATTGATACACACATATTACGGCTGAATCCAAAAGTGATTCCATATCAAGTTAATTCCTTAAATAAAAAAAAAGAACTCAAAATATGAGTCACTATAAATCAACTCAGCCATAGTAATTCAATCACAAGAATGAAGAAAAAAAATCATTAGCGTGCATGCGGCTCTTCAATTCAAGACTCAAGCAACATCAAAATTGGAAATAAATCTCTCCAATTTACTTGATCCACAAATTGCCGGCCGAACAATAAAAGAAATACATAAAAGAAATCATCAAAATCTGGAATATCCCTACGGATTCCAATTCAATATATACCAATCAAAACTCAATTGTTCCAATAAGTCATCAACTGCCAAACTTATGAATATATAGGAATGAATTACATAAAAGTAATTTCGCATTACCCTAATTTCATTCAAATCGGCAGATCATATGACATAAAAAAAATCGAAATTCAATCGTTTGAGATTGAAAGAAAAGTATGAATACTCCAAATAATTCAATATGAAGGAGGCTCTGATACCAATTGTTGGAAATACATATACATAAAGCGGAAGCAATACAAGAACAAAGCAAATGAATTGTTCTATATTCCAGGACCTTCATCATATTGAATAATAGAGTATAATAAGATTACTACCTGGATCCATAGCGATGCCGCAGGAGGAATGGAACAAGGTAGATGGCGTCTGGATCTTCCTCAATTGAACCCGAGGCCTAAGTCTCTCTTCCGATGGGGAGAAGAGAAGTGAATTGGTGTAGTTCAATGTATTGGGGACCATAGCCTATTTATAGAGTGTGTTGGTCTAGCTAGGGCTCCCATTAAACCCTAACAAGCAACACGGGCCTCTGCCCATTTATTTGGCCCATACAATTTATCTTAATAGTCTATTGGGCTTAATTAGATAATATTGACCACATAAATAAAAAACCCAATTGATAAATAGCTAATACAATAATTATAATATTAGCCCATATTAATTATTGAAATAAAATATTCCAACATTATGTAGTATCTAACAAACTTATAAATATGAATGTTTTAACTAGATAGAGGAATATATACTCTAATTATTTTTACCAGCACACAACCTCGATCGGCGGCTAGGGTTTGTTTTCAGGCGATCGATTTAATCGACGGTGTCCGGTGTGTTTTGGGTTACACCTCTTATCGGCTGCTCTTGTCGGAAGAGCAGGGTTGGTCTCTTACTCGATATCAAGGCAGCAACTCGGTGAGTACGCATATAGGATTGGGGTTTGCGTCCAATTGGAAATTCTTCTTGGACGGTTTGATCAAGGGAATTCTCAAAAAGTTGGATCTAAGGAAAGCTCTGGTTCGCACCAGTGTTTCGTACCAGTCTGGAATCCTTTCTTGTGCGGGGCTGATCCGAGATTTTTGCAGGCGATTAGGTACAAAGGCAACATGATAGAGATTTCTTCTGCACCTCGGACATGGATTTCAATGGCAAACCTCAAGAAACAAATTGGCGAGAGCAAAAAGGATAGAGTTTCAGATGAATTTTCCAAGGATCGAAATTCTCTTCTCCGATCGCATGCTAGTGTAGCTCGTCCACTTCCGGAACCACCTCCGGGCGAAGAAGCATTTTTGGAAAGTTTCTATTTTCGTATTATTTTTTCTTTAGTAGTATTTGTTCTTATTTCAGTTCGAGTAGGTATGGTTAGAGTTTTTTTTATTTTTATTTTTGATGAACTTTTGATAGATAGTGCTTCATTTTCGATCGCTTTAGGCTTATTTTTGCTCATTTTGTGTCTAGCGAGTCAGGTTGCTTTGTATGAGCGGCTGATTCTAAGTCTATTCCTACGACTTACGATCGGATCTGTAATAGATGTCCAAATATTGTCTTACATGTTTGCTCTATTTTAATGAAATCCATTTTGACGATGAAAAAACAAACTTATAAATATGAAAAGGGGTTAACACCCTTAATTTATGTAAATGTTTTGTATGTGATTTAATTGTAACTCATGCAATATTTGTTATACCTTTAACATTTAAGACAAATATAACCTTACATGGGGTTAAATTTTAAACTTCTACTACATTAAGTATACACATTCAATGCATAGTTACATCCCATATTATTACTATTACAATAGTGTATTACGTAGTGGAGTATTAACATTTGGTGGGTAAACTTTTCAACAATACTTAGCTACCCAAACAATCATACAAGTGAGCATGTATTCATATAAATTGTACAATTATTGTTTGATAATATTACTTAAAAATTGAAAAATAGCATTATAAATTGATATATAAAAAGAAATAAAATAAAAATAGAATAGGACAATAAGTACATTAGTGGAGGCCTCAACCACATTAAATTCAAAATATTGGCAACTGATAATATGTTATTCATGTATTCCGATAATGATAATTCTTTAATATGTGTGTAAACTGTTATAGTCCACAATGTCATTGTTTTTAAAACCTAAAATATTATTTTACTTACAAGTAAATTAGAATAATGAAAGTATATTATTGGACATTAGCTTTCACGCATGGTGCGTATAGAGATAGACTAGGACGGGTCGGCCCGACCCGCTAATGTATAGGTGCGGTCCCGGGCCCAATTTCACTTTTTTTTTTAAATTCATTGCCCAGTTTCGTCCTGGCCCGGTCCCGACCTAGTAATGTTTAGGCCCGATCAGGGCCGGTCCCGGTACAATCCGGGCCAGTACCGGACCTGAAATTTTTAGGCACGAGCCCGACCTGTCTCGGTCCATCCCTAGGCGCGTATAGAAAGCTAGTATTTTAATAAGAATGTACAAGCCGAATTAAGTTGAAATCGACCGACTCGTTTGTAGTTTTGGTTACCGTTTATATCTTTTGGTTAAAAATCCATACGAGCCGACTGACAAAAATCGACCGAAACGAGTTAAAATGGATCGAAATTAGTTGAATCGAACTGACCAAAACCCACTCAAGCAATGCGATTCGGGATCTCGATTTCACTTTTTTAAAACCGATCATCAAAAAACCGAACCAAAGAAAATGAATCGTAAAATAACTAATAGATTGCATTCTTGATTTTTTTATAACCCAACCTGATAAAATAATGGAAGAGTAAATGAGACTTTAAGCCAACAACTTCACTCAACAATAAGTCAATAAACGTTGAACTATTGATATTCGAGTCATCCCTCCGTCCTTAAATTATCTTCAAAAGTACAATTTGAACGAGTATTAAGATAGTGATTATTGTATGGTGAAAGTTGTGTAGATGAAAGAGAAATGTGTAAAAATATTGTGAAACGCAATTTTTTTGCCGAACAAGAAAATGAAAGATTATTTAAGACGAACGAAAAAGGAAATTTGAAAGATTGAGAACGAAGAGAGTCTCACCTTACATACCTGGCACAACTAGCTAAAAAGATACTTTTACGGGTTTTTTAGTAGGTGTTAGTTTTTAGTTATTGAAAAGATTTTAAAAAGAAAAGGTGATAGCTGTTTGGTAAAAAACTGACAGTTTGATTTAGTTCGGTTTGATATACAAGCTCTTAGGATTAATTAAAACTAAAAGTCACAAACTTTTCTCAGATGCTACACCCAGTAGCATCTCAAAAAAGATCTTTTAATTTTTTAAAAGCTCTTAAAAAATGTCATGTCAAATATACAACTAGAGTCTTTTACGGTCTTTTTAAAGAATAGAAAAGCTAGAAGCTAGAGCCTTTTGTGTGTCAAACATAGCTACATAGCTATACCCTTATAAGAGTGACTGAGATGTTAGAGTTTTTTCCCGGAATAATGCTAATTAAAAAAATAATTCCCAAAATACTGCCGGGTTAAGAATAATTCCCAAAATACTGCTGGGTTAACCACGGTTAAGGAAAGCCGCCACTCGAAGTGGCGGCTCTTCATCTATCTTTACAAAAGCCGCCACTCGAAGTGGCGGCTCTTCATCTATCTTTACAAAAGCCGCCAGTCCGAGAGGCGGCTCTTCTGTAGTAATACAAAAGCCGCCACTTCGAGTGGCGGCTCATTTATCAGCAGAAATACCCCTTTCTTCCCAGTTGACGAAGTCATCTGCACTCCCTCTGCAGCAACCGACGAACGGCAACAGAACGACGCAAATCCTCCGATTCAGGCCAGATTTCGTCCAAACGAAGCTCAAATCAAAGGGAAAAGGCTCGTGGTATACCCGAGGTCGTTTGTACTCCATTCTAGCGACTTGCTACTGCTTGAATAGAGGTATTCTACCATTTTTGCTAAACCTAGGTTTTTTAATTGGTTGTTCGAAATTACTTGTTTTTTTTAATTACTTTCTTTGTATTTGATGTTGTGAAATGTATAAGTTCTTAATCTAGTTATTATGATTGACTTTAAATAATTTGTTAAATGTGAATGATGCCAACGTAACTTCCACCTTTTTTTGCTAAAGCTAGGTTTCTTAGGTATTGCTCCAAATAGCTTGAAATTGTTATTGTTTTGTTCAAAATTGCTGTTGATTCGCTTGAAGTTGTTGTTGTTTACTTGTTTATTAATAGATTTTGATTTTCTTTTACTAATTAAATAATGCTAATTAAGCATGTGTTAATTTGTTGCTTTTTCATCACACCGCATTTTTAACCCGGTTAATTATTATGAGTCCTTATTTAATGGTATGAAATCGTAATATGTATCTATGATCTAATACTTTTCGTTTGAATTATAGTAATTGTATTTGAATTTTCAAATAGCAGCATACAACATACTTTTTTTGGAATGATTTTTTTATAGAATATGTCTAGAAACTTCTCCATTATTTGTCAATGGGGAGGAAATATTATCGAGGAGTCAAACGGAGTTCATTATGAAGGAGGGATTCGGAAGATAATTGTTGTTTCCCGTGGGGTGGATCTTGCTGAAATTATGAATAAAATTTATGCCGCCACATCCATCAATCGTATGAACAAGTTGGATTTGAAGGTTAAATATCCCATGCATGGTGGATCATACATGTTGATGCCTCTTGCTGACGACGAAGCCGTTACAGGAATGTGGACTGTAATCGAGAATCTTGAAATGCATACCATGGAGATATATGTTGAAGAAGTGGCGGTGTTGCCCATACAACCTGGCCACCCGCCATTGTCTTGCACATCCCCAAGTGTTCCAGTTGTGATGAATATGGTTACACAGGAGAATGGAAGATATGTGAACAGTGCTGCAACGTTTCTAGATTCACAGTGCACTGACGATGATGCAGATGAAAATGTGAACCACGACACGCTAACAGATTCAGATGAAGATGGTGGTGATCTCGTGAGTGGCAATGCTCCATCCAGCCACTACACTAAAGTTTATGAGCTCCCTGCGGGATATGATGAATCATGGAAGGGTTCTACAACTTCTAGTCATTTTTCTGTAGATGGTGAGTTTGAGGTTGGGCAAGAGTTTGATAATAAGAAACAATTGATCAACATGGTTAGAGCATACTCTGTAAAGAGGAACCAATTTTTCACAGTTGTTGAGTCTGACAAACACAAATGGGTGGCAGAGTGTAAGAGGAGAAAAGACTGTGGCTGCACTTGGCGGATCCGGGCTACCAAAAAACATGAGAAGCTAGATATGTTCAAAGTTGTTCGTTATGCAGGTCCTCATATACCTACTTGTGTAGGTAACGTCGATAACAATGACCATGCTGATATCACAGCTCAGTTCATAGCCCATGAAATTATTGATCTTCTTCGTACCGATCCATCACTAAAAGTCCGCACTATTAGTCAGCTTATGAAGGAAAGGTACGGCTATATACCTTCGTATAAGCGAAGTTGGTTGGCTAAACAAAAAGCTATCGGTGAAATATTTGGAGATTGGGAGGCGTCGTATTCTGAATTGCCTCATTTCATGTTGGCATTACAACATTCCAATCCAGGGACAGTCGTGCATTGGTACCCACCTCTTTCAGGTACCAATGAGTTAATAAAATCATTATTGTATCATATTAAATTTCATTATAAATTTGTCCTCTTAATTTTCTCCATCTTTCAGGTACCACTGATGTTCAGCAGTTTCAAAGGGTTTTTTGGGCATTTAAGCCATCCATTAAGGGCTTTAAACATTGTCGTCCCTTACTAACCATCGATGGAACACACTTATACGGGAAGTATAAAGGTACATTGTTGGTGGCAATGGGTAGTGATGCTAATAATCAACTATTCCCTTTGGCATTTGCGATCTGTGAATCGGAGAATGGAGAGAGTTGGCCCTGGTTTATGGCGTGCATACGTCATTTTATCACACACAGAGAATTGTGTGTTATTTCAGATCGACATGCTGGAATTATGAAGGCATTTAATGAGGTAGGTGGTGGATGGGAGGAGCCAGATGCACGACATAGGCTTTGCATACGCCATGTCGCTTCTAATCTGCATACTCAATTTAAAGACATTCACCTGAAGAATCTGTTCATTTGGACAGCAAGTCAACGCCAAAAGAAGAAATTTGATGGTGGATTTAATAAGATAGGCGAAATGCAGGCACAAGCACGAGAATATCTAGCCAACATTAGTTTGGAGAAGTGGTCTTTACACCACGACGGGGGGTACAGGTATGGCACCACAACAACAAACATGGCTGAAGTTTTCAATAGTGTCATGAAGAGTGCATGATACCTGCCTGTAACCGCCTTAGTTGAGTTATCATTTTATCGTGTGAATGCCTATTTTGTGGAAAGAAGAGAAACTAGTAAGAGAAGATTAGCAGAAGGGCATCGCTACTGCCAGCAAGTGACCGAAATGATAGAGAAAAATACGGAAAAGGCAAAGCATCACAAGGTCACAATATTTGACATAGGCCATGGTTTATACCAAGTAGAGACGGGTCGTGGTGGTCGAACCACGGGGAAGGGTGGCAGAAAACAAACGGTGAATTTGCAACGTCGCCATTGCACATGTCAGAAGCTGAATATTTATAAGATTCCTTGTTCACATATATTAGCGGTATGCAGACACCGTAGTTTGTCCTATGATGCTTTTGTTGATAAATTTTTTTCTTCCTCGGAGTATGCAGCTTCCTATAAAAGAGTATTTAAGCCCATACCAGATATAGCATACCGACCTACTTACACTGGACCACGAGTTGTGCATGACCCGTCGATGATTCGCGCTAAAGGTCGTCCGAAGGCTAAACGATTGAGAAATGAAATGGATGAAGGTCCTAAAGGTACTGTGAGATGCGGTAACTGCAAGCAAACAGGGCATAACAGGACCACATGTGCTAGAAGATCAGAGGGAAACGTAGGGAGTTCCACTGGGTAATGTTGTTCTTTTATTCGCAAATGCATTAGCAATATTAATAAATAAATAATTTTAATTTAATATTAAAATAAAATAACTAATACACTTATTACTTTTACAGCGCCGATGCAGGTGTCAGTGGATCCCGGACCGATTGATCCTTCAGTCCTGACATTGCAGGCCACGCACCGGAGCGAGGATGTGTGGCGTGGCCTGGATGTTCAGGTAGATAGGTGTCGTGAGCACCTACGCAGTACATTCCACATGGGGGTGGACGATAGGATTCTTTATTATGTTCGATTAGCTGGGTTTTATGGTGTTCATTATGTTCGAGCGTTGGCGACAGGAGACTCACACATTCCATTTACCGGTGGGTGAGGTCACGATCACATTAGGAGATGTGGCTGTATTGGCAGGTTTACCGATCCAAGGTCGGGCAGTTACTGGGACTGCATGTAGACTGTGGGTTGATGTGGTACATTGATTGTTGGGAGTACGGCCACACCCGGGGACAGATATTCGGGGGTCCGCTTTGAGGATGGCTTGGTTGAGAGAGCATTTTGTTGGTTTACCTGCTGATGCTGATGATGATGTTGTGCAGCAGTACGCGAGAGCATAAATTCTGATGCTTATGGGAGCTTCCACGTTTGCGGACAAAAGTGGGAATGAGGTGCAGGTCTTGTATTTACCCATTCTGCAGTCTTTTGATGTAGCTGCAGTTTATAGCTGGGGTAGTGCCACTTTAGCATACCTATATCGGCAGTTATGTCGAGGTTGTCATCGTGACGGTGGAGAGATGGGTGGGTTTTTATTGCTCATACAGCTATGGTCATGGGAGCACATTCATATCGGCAGACCTGTCATACTGCGATATCATGGGGTAGATGGTGGTCCTCTTGATGATGATATGGATCAGCACGCAGTACTTGGGCCACATCATGTTCGTGGCGAGGATCCTTTGGGTCGTAGGTATGTTTACGATTTTTTTTTGTATGACGTACGTGAATCCCTTATATATTCTTATACATTACAATGTGTCAGATGGCTATTTGCTCATGTCACGCGCACGTCATCCGCTGCTGGGTTAGGATACTACCGAGATGCTTTAGATCGCTTGTGTGATGATCAGGTATATCATTAAATGTAAGTCATTTGTTTTATGTTTTTATAAACCATGGTATAACTTAATTTTATATTATAGATGACGTGGATGCCGTACACTGATGAGATTCTAGGCCTGTTGCCTCCTGTTGTCCGAGAGCACACTCAGATATGGCGAGCACGTGTGCCTTTGATATGTTTTGATGTAGTGGAGCATTACTTTCCTGATCGCGTAGCATCCATGACAGAGCGACTGCTATACTTGATGAGGCGGTAGATGTACAGGGATACCATGACGCTTGTTTAGGCATTGTTTCACTGTGTGCTGATGTATTGGGTCGAGTCGATTATGGATATATGGCCGCGTCTCAGCATTCCACTGCATCTACATCCGCAGCAGGGTCTTCTCAGGCAGTCCGACGTGATAGAGTTGTTCTTCAGCCTCGTAACCAGCGCAGACGTCCCCGAGCACAACTACATGAACTTCATGATGATGATGATCACGTTGAGTTATGATATTTGTATTTCACTTATTGTGTGAAAGTTGTAGTATGCACTAGCAGATCGAATCATTTTGGGATACACCAGATTTATTATAACTTTTATGGTTCATACTCAATTTTGTGGTGTATTGATTCCGTTTGTGAAAGTCTCATAATATGAAGTTTAATTGATTCGTTTTGTGTTTTGGATGTATGTTGTAATGTAGTTTCATTGATTCGTTTTGTGTTTCGGGTGTATGTTGTCTTAGTAAATCATATGTTTGGTTGTTGTTTTTTTTTGTTTCGGGTGTATCTTGTCTTAGTAAATCATATGTTTGGTTGTTTTTTTTTACTGGAATGTACTGTGAGTCTCTGATGAGCACATAATCTGGTTATTATAGGTTATTACAGGTTTAGTTGTTTAAATTAATGCTGCAGCAGGTACTTAACACAAAAGCCGCCACTTCAAGTGGCGGCTTTTATACAACGACACAAGAGCCGCCACTCCAAATGGCGGCTTTTGTAAAGCTTCACAAGAGCCGCCACTTGAAGTGGCGGCTTTCCTTAACCGTGGTTAACCCCAGCAGTATTTTGGGAATTATTCTTAACCCGACAGTATTTTGAGAATTATTTATTTAATAAGCATTATTCCGGGAAAATTGTTAAGTTTGACGGCATGAGAAATAATAAATTGAAAATTGTATAATTAAGGGTTAATCACGAGAGACTTTTAGGGAGAATTAGAAAAGTAAAAAAAAAAAGAAATTACTCTAAATAGGACTATAAACGTTTGTATATTCCAAAATAGGACTGTCATGTTTTTATTTCCAAAATAGGACTACTTATATCATGTTTTGGCAGTACCAAATTTTGAATATGTCATTATTTTTCAAACTTGATAGTAAACACTCCTATTTTGGAATTTTGCCAGAGGAAGGATTTTTATTTGGGGCTGCCTCCTCTGTCCTCTGTCCTCTGCTTCATCTTATTCTTTTTTTCTATCAAAATGGACAAACTGGCTAGACTGGTGACCCAAATAGCCAATTCTCCGCCGTCTCAATGGCTATCCACCCTTTCACCGCTCCACCTCTCTTTGATCCCACTTCTGTCCTTAGCGTCCTCCCTCTACCTGCCGGCACTCCACTTTCGGCGCCGCCTCTACGCTCTCGGGCTCTTACGCCAGCACAGGTATAATCTCACTCACAACAGCTTTTTCCCTCAAACGGAACGAGTCTTAGTTTCTGTTTTCTCAAAACGATGACGTGATTTGTTTGAACTGAAAGGCTGCCGGTGCCTGTGGTTAGCGTCGGGAATTTGACTTGGGGAGGCAATGGAAAGACTCCAATGGTGGAGTTTATTGCTCGCTGCTTCGTCGATTCTGGAATTCCACCTCTGATTCTCACCAGGGTACTTAATCTTCCTTTCCGAATACTGTATACGCGGCTCTAGTACTTTGTTCGACAACGTGTTTGCAGGGTTATGGTGGGGAAGATGAGGTTAAGATGCTAGAGAGGCATCTTCAGGGGACGCCTGCTAAGATAGGTGTTGGTGCAAACAGGGCGGCAATTGCTTCAATCTACTTTCAAAGATATGGTTACATTGATCCTAGGGGAAGTCTGAATCATGAGACTCTTTCCTCAGAAAATATTTCGTGTGGAGATAAAATTGGGGTTGCCATCTTAGATGACGGAATGCAGGTCTGCCTATGATTTCTTATTTTCCATTGCTTCTATGCCAAAATGGGCCGAAATAAAATTGGAAGGAGAAAATGTGCTGGATAAAAGAAACACCTTTCAAACTCATACTCCGTATAAATCTTTTTTACATTTTTGCTCAAAGTAAAAAATCATTTTATCTAGATATCATGAAACTCGTTCTATCTTATGAAGTTATGAAATTAAGATATATATATGTACAAATTTAAAAACTTTTAGACAAATTTGATTGTTTTTTTTTTATTTTTCAAGGTAAACTGAAACATTAAAAAACTATACTCCCTCCGTCCCCTTTTAAATGTCCCGTTTTACCATATTGGGATGTCCCTATTTAAATGTCCCATACCTTATTTGGTAAAGTTTGTGTGGCTCAAAATCATTCTTACTTTATTCTTACTTTATCAATTAATATCAACCACACAAACTCACTTTTCTTAAAACCCGTGCCACCCTCCTCCGGGTCATTTAAAAGGGGACGGAAGGAGTATTTCTTAGTATTTATTTTCCTTCCAAACCATTTCCCAAGCTCCAAACAAAACCTTACCCTGTCTTATTCTATGTATACCTTTTTTTATTTTTATGTGACTGTTCTTATCACCTAGGACATGAGAAGTTATTCTTTATTTAGTATTTTAGATCAACTTCTTCATCTGCCCTCTGCATATTGATAAACATGATGTTTACTAGTAATGTGGTTGGAAATTGGAAGGCAGCATCTTCGTTTATGGCGAAACATAGAGATCGTTATGGTGAATGCAATGATCCCTTGGGGAAACCATCTCTTACTTCCTCTCGGAACATTAAGAGAACCATTTTCAGCCCTTAAGCGTGCAGATGTTGTCATAGTGCATCATGCAGATATGGTACCAATTTTTTTAAGTGCCTTTAATATGCCATTTTTTAGTTTATAAATAAATAAATGCTGAAGTGCATGAGTGAATTAATGACTTGACTGACTCTATTAGGCGTCGAAGCTGGAAATTCAAGCCATAGAGTCAATGGTTCACAAATATAATGAATCAGTACCCATATTCTTCAGCATTTTAGCTCCTTCACACTTTATCAGAGTGGGAAACATATCATACACATGTCCTTTGAAGGACATATCTCATGCAATACTCTTATGTGTCTCTGCCATTGGATCTGCAGATTCATTCGTGCAGAGGATTCATAAGGTTTAATATTTTTTTACATTTCACTACACTTTCCAGATTTACTTCTCATATGTTTGATGGGGAAATCACTATTTTGGTCTCTCAATGGTTTTTTATTTTGCAATGTAGCCTCTCACCATCATTTTGGTGCAATTCAGTCCCTCACTTACTTTTAGAAATAGCCAATTAAGTCCCTTACACATAAATTATGGAGTCATTTAACTTTGACATCTTGCATGTGTATCTTTTTCAATTACATTCACTTCAATGATTTTAGCAATAGTGGGTATTGTGACGGATTGAAGTCACAGCGTTTTAGATAATTGAGGGACTGCCTTGTACTAAAATGACATTGAGGGTCTATATTGCAGAAACTGGCACAATCATGGTATAAAAATGTGATTCTTCCCTTATCTGAATTGGGATTCTCTGCTTATCTCAGATGGGACCCATGCATGTTGATCGGTTAGATTTCAGTGACCACCATTCTTTTCAACCTAAGGTTAATGAGTGAATCTTCCTGTAATTTTCCTTTGCTTCCATTTGCTTTGTTTTATTTGCATATAATAGACATCAAATAAACACATACACACATACATATACATGTGTATATGCGTGCCCACACACGTGGATACATATATATATGTATGTATAGACACACACACACACATATATATATTATGAATTATTAAATTAATATATCCCCAACTATCATCAAATTCTAAAATCTATCATATACTTTAACTTTTATAAAAGACTCAAACTTCAACTTTTCTCACAATTACACTTTCAATGGATTGATTACTATTATTGAAGAAAAAAACTTATATGTATTTCATTTTTTTCATTCCTTCATAACTTTAAGTTGGGAAACCTGTATTGCTTTAAAAAAAACTATACAAAACCATAGTTCTGTAAAACTGAAAAAATTACTAGTGGTGAAGCTAATATTACGAATAACTGAGCAAACTATGGTGCATAGTATATGAATGATAACTAGAAAGATGAAACTGTGACATACAAGTATACAACTATATAGAAAGAATTCAAAGTTTTATTGGTAACACATAATTTTTATTAACAATAATATTAGTGCTGAAATCGCTTTTGCAACTTCTTTAAAAAGCATTAATATATGAACTAGTTTATTTACCAACTAGTTAGAGTATCATTTTATATTAATTTTTAGATCTTGTTAGAAAATTTTCAGTTGTAAATTTATATACTCCGTATAAGATTTGATTTAAGTTCTTGGTAATTTATGAAAAAAAAAATATTAAATAATTAATAAAATTATATAATTTAATTCAAGTATATTAAAAGTATTGAGGTTTATATAAATTTGTAAATTTTGAAAAATCACAACGGAAAACTGTAATTGTTAAAAAAGTTGAAGTTTGAGTCTTTTTTATATAAAAGTTAAGGCATAGGATAAATTTGTGAATTTGATGATAGTTAGAGATATGATAAGCTAATAAGTCTTATATTATGGGATGAGGTTTTCTTAATGTGAGAAATGCAAAATCCCCATTGTTGAATCTCTACATTGCAAATTATGTTCAGGTAATGATCTTTTTTTGCGTCAGCAAAATCATCTCTTTTAGTCATATCTACAAATATCCATCATTTCCAATGGACCAAGACTCACTAATTTTTTGGTTTGGGAATATGATGGAATAAAGCAAAAGTCAGTCCATGCAACTTTCGATGTGATTTTCATCATGGGTCATTCGGAAACAGTCTTTATGTGCTTTAGTACAGGGTATGGCTGGGTACATTCAAACCCCCTTAGCGCACCCCAGGTGGGGAGCCTTTGCGGCACTGGGGTAATGTTGTTGTATAGTCTTATTTACAAAACTGTCTTCATATTTTGACCCAATCTGCTGCATGACATTTTCATGGCCATTAGATATACCACACACAGGATTCATTCTCATATCTCCCGCAGATACACATATTATTTAGACCCATATTTATAATGATGAATAGGGTACATTTGTTTCTTAATATCTGCAGGATATTGACATAATAAGAAAGAGATTACATAAGCTAGAATCAGATTTTTCTGCAGTTCCAATGATGGTTGTTACTGAAAAGGTGAGTTGATATTTTGGGTATTATCCGGAATAAGATGAAAGATGCAACCCCGGAGCTGTCAATTGCTGGCACTAGATTTACAAGTTCCTTTGGACTTGTCTTTTTTGAATTGCGTTGGAGCACATAAACCTTTGGGGTAACAAAGAAACTTTGATCATACAATTATAAATAAAAACTAGACATACAAATTTATTACTATAAAAAGTATCATATTTCAAATCTCTTTGTAAAAACAAATAAGAATGTAACTTTTGTTCTTGAAGTTGCATAACCAGGACTGTTGTTCCCTCTCATGTAACAGGACTATTTTAGACGTCCTGAGGTTCTTGAACATCTGGGTTATGAAGTATTGGTGCTTTGTTCATCCTTGCAAATTCTGCCGCTCAAAGGATGCAATGAAGAAAGCTTCAAGAAATGCCTGAGGCAGCATCTGGAAATATACAATCTAGCATAGGTCAGACCAGGGCTGCATATTTATAAATTTAATCTTAATTTAGTTGGATTGGATTTCGGATTGGTTTGTAATGAGTGGAAACGAGAGTAGCTTAACTCAGAGTTGAGGTTTAGGTTGACCATTGATGAGGCCGCAAAGGGCAAAAAACGGCAAGGAGGTGGTGCTTGTGAAGAAGCACTACCGAACATTTTGACTAGGCAGGCGGAGGAGAGTTGCGCAGAGGGAGACCCTTTGAAGTGGTGGGTGAAGTTGGGCTTTGTGTTTTTATCTGCTTTCCTTTTAATTTGGACAATTTGTCTCCTTTATGTCCAATTATTCAATTTAGTAACAAGGGCATTAATTGAGGGATTAGCAAATCCTAGTGTAGCCTTAGAGTCTTATCTGTATATTTTTATCTTTTATCATTAACAAATAACTTTGTTTCTTTTAAAATATGAGCATTCTTCTCAATCATGAGTTCATAATAGTTATTGAATTTGATGCTCCAATAAATAAAAGATATTGATATCATGCTTGCTCAACGTAAACCTTCAATTCCATAGCTCTGAGCCTCTGAACTTGTGGGGTATGTTTGGATCTCGAAAAAGCTAGGTGAAGTTGTCAATTGTACCTGATGTGTTGTATGGGGTATGTTTCTGGTCTATGGTCTAGTTTATAGAAGTTTGGTTCCGTAGATGTCTGTTCTATGTGCATTTTACAATTGTCGAAGTTTAGTCTGGTCTGAGAATGAAACCAGCTCAATTGAAAACATCTCTAATTGTTGTACTCCCCATTTGGGATTGCTCCTCCAATGATGAGTCTTATACCCTAATTCTCTATGCTATGCACGGATAACTTTTATATGTCTCTGTTTGATGTACGCACACAACTTTTTACCATTGTCTGTGGTATGGTCTGCATGAAATGCTACACAGACAGTTTGTAATGTGCGACAAAGAATATATAAAAAGAAATAACCCATGAAGCTTCATGTAAATTATTACCTAATAATAACAAGGGGAAGAGACACAGAATATGGTGGATCATTTAACTCCATCCTAGTTTATATTTGCTTAGGCAGTTTCAGTTTGTGTAGGTTGTTTGCTATTGTATTAATTCTTGAACACCAGAAAGTATAGTGGACATCCATGAACTGGGATTTCTCACTTCCAATGTTATGTAAGATAATTTTTAATTGAGCGATTATTAGCCGCTATTGTTGTGATTTTCGGTTGCAATACGAGATTAGGCTACGTGATTAAATTGCACAGCGGTCATCAGGTTGGTCTATTTATAGCTTCAAGTTGTAGAGCACTTGGTACCGGTTCGGTTCTTAGGAAAAGAATTGGAATCATTCAAAAAATCACAACTCTTAGTATCGGTCCGATTACTATAAATTATTTGTAGACCTGATATTGAACCAAATCAAACCTTAACGGTTGACACATAAAGACATTCAACATTTGAAATTATAAGAAGTACAAATTAGTTCAAGGTTATCATATTTCAAACCTCAAAAGTTAAGTTTCAAACATAACTATATAACAAATCGAAAAGTTTAGTAAAGAAAACAAAAAAGACATCTATTGCAATCAAGAATTGTGATCTTCAAATAGCAATGTAGTTAGCCAACAGAGAAGCCGCGGAGAAGAGTAGAAATTGATTAGGGTTTTAGTCTAATCTATCGTGTGAGTCTGACTATCCGAGCATCTAACAAATCAAGTCATCAACTCTATTAACTATACTGCCAAATACATTGTGGTCTGATGACTTCACTGTGGCACTCCCAAGAAGGTCACATGTTTGAATCTCATCTCAGTTCAAAGATGTTGGCTTTAATATCGAACAGATACTATAATAGGTTAAGAAGCTTTGTAAAAAAACTCTATTAACTATATTAAAATTCTTCCCACTTTCTTTTTTGGGCCGTCCCAAAAAATTCTTCCCACTTTCCCTTTTTGGACAATTTGTGTGGTTCACGTTCATTTCACCTTTTTCTTACACAACCACAATCACACATTTCCACTTTATTCCACTTTCTTAATCTCCGTGCCAAGTCAAAGTGGGAAGAATTTTCTGGGACGGAGGGAGTATAGACTAATAAGTTATACATAAAAACTTAATCTATTCAAAAAAACATATATAAACTTAATTATTATATCGTAGTTGCTTAACGGTTCCGCATACATATCTTTATAAGAACCGAGAACCAAATCGTTAATAAAAATAGAAATCGGACTGTTAATGGAATACTAATTAATGTTGAAATAGAACTGAATTGGGTCACAACGATTCGGTTTTCCGGATCTTTGTTCCAAAGTCCCACCCCTATACATCGCCACATCGGTCATCAAACCCTCTCAAACTTGCACCTTGACTACCTTATCAACGATTGATTTGTCTTTGCAAGCAGAAAACCTATAATTCAAACTCCTTTAAGAATTGCATTGTGATAAAGATATAGGGGAATGACAGGGCCAGTTCAACAAAGGGTCAATGGTCACCAAAAAAGGTAGGTTCGTTTTTATTGTTTTTTCAGACTAGAAAGGAAACATTAACGTTGATGTATGATGAGCTTTTGTTTGTACAACGCTAAAACTCATTAAGTTGACATGAATCGCGTGCTTTTCTGCACCCTTAACACCCTTCCTGCCCCCTTAGAACATCTTCGCCAATGCAAAAACATGAGCGTTAGCACATGTGACGTGAAAGAAATAGACACATAAAAGTTAATAAATAGAATATACTTCTCCTTATTTGAATGGTCATATATGCTTTTAGTAAGTTTTTCTTCACAACTTCAAGCGCAATGTTTACATGTAGACAGTGTGGTTGCCAATTGACATTGTTTAGAAAAACTTACCAAAACTCACAAGGCCGTGGTAGTGATGGACCCGGGCCGGGTCAGGCCCGGGCCTAGGCCTAGTCGGGTCGGGCCTCGGACCAAACTTTTTTTTTTCCTTTTTCTACTTAACCCCCCCCCCCACCCCCAATCCACCAAACTACCCCAAAATACCCAGCCCAACCCGGAAATTCAAAAAAAAAAATGAAAAAAACAAAATATATTGCCCAAACCGGGCCCGGTCCGCCCGGGCCGGTTCCTTGTTTTCCTGACCCGAGCCCGCACCGGAAAACCCCCCGGGCCGGGCCTACCCGGACCGGTCCCTGGCCGGGCCACCGGGCCGAGCCTAACAGTATCGGGCCGGTTCCGGTTCTGGGTCGGGCCACTCAACCCGAGTCCACCACTGGGCCGTGGAAATGTGAGAAAAATGTCATGAATGTATTCTTTTGTGTCTGTCTCTCATGCCACATATGCATCGTGCACATTGTAGCATTTGAGATGCTCTTATCCCGCTCCATATCCATATCCCCTCTTGGCCACTTTCTTGCCCCCCCCCCCCCCACCTACCTTGCTTTTCTAGCCTTGCCCCGCTTTCTTGTCCCTCTTACCCTGCCTAACTCGTCCTCCTTACTTTTTGACGTTTTATGCTCCCTCCGTCCCATTTATATTGTCTCGTTTTACCTTTTCGGGAAGTCCCACTTAAATTGTCCCATATACCACATTTGGCAAAGTTTGTGTGGCTCTAAATCATTCTTTATTCTTACTTTATCAATTAATATGAACCACACAAACCCACCTTTCTTAATAACCGTGACACCCTCTTCCGTCCCAATATAAATGGGACAGAGGTAGTATTAGTTACCACATAATTTAATAAGGAAAACAATCATTTTACTTCACTTTTATTAAAATTTATCTCCATACTTTTCTTTTACAGTGTCTCAAAACAAACTTTATTTTTCTTTATAATTGATTTATGTTATTTCTTTATAATCAATATAATTGATTTCGACTCTAGATGAGAAGTCAAAAGAGGAATTGATATTGGGAAGTAATATGGAGTATGAATTAATTCATCTAGAGTTTGATAGTAATTGATTTCGACTCTAGATGAGAAGTCAAAAGAGGAAATGAGGAATTGATATTGGGAAGTAATATGGAGTATGAATTAATTCATCTAGAGTTTGATAGTCTCAGTCCGGGTAAAATTGGACAAGTACCAATCGGATTTTTCACCCAATGGGAAACTTTGGGACCTCCACTAAATTCCTCAAATTTCACCCAAATAGACTCCCAAGTCCAGTGGTTAAAAATATTTGCAAGTTCAACGAAGACAGAAGAGATGATACCATCTTTTTTTAGTTCAAAATAACTCTCAAACTAATTATTGGGTCTAAAAATACCCTTTTGTTAGTTTTACCTGCAAAGTCTAACTTTCCCCACTCCATCTCAACACAATTTGAAACCATATATGAATACAAGTAATACTATAATGTATAGCAATCAAGCAATGCATCAAAGAAATTAAACAAAATCCCTAAGCTAATTTCAGCTTCATGCTAGACTGCTAGTTACTTCAAAGAGCTCCTGCACCCCACCCTCCTTCATGCTAGGGAGCGTACTAATAATTAATATTTGAGAGTTCAACTGTTCAGGTGAAGATACAAAATTGTCTCTTTTATAAACATGAACTAGGGAAAACAATGATTATCAAGTGGGGATCAAATCGAGTACAACAGTACTGAGTATGATATTCACACATCTTCAGTACAAAAAGCCTACAATCTCGAGCTCTACAATCTCGAAGCTCTACGGCTCTACCTTCTAGCTTCCATCAACATGGCACGTATCTTGGCCCTAAGTTCATCAGAGGGTTGAGATGTTGATCTTGGTGGACTTGAAACGTCATTAGAAGCTTCTCTGCATACCGGTCCTCTAGTGGACTGATCCGACACTTTGCTAATCTCTCCTTCCTCCAAATCTTCCCCATCAGCAGCACCTTTTCTTAGTTTATCAGATTTGTTTCTATGATGTTCATCATCACAATGAGAAGCTCTTTTTGACCGTTCATGTCTGCTTGTGTTCTTCGAGGAATTATGAGATTTGTGCTTTTTTCTGGAGTGTCTATGGTGTTTTTCTTCATCTATCTCGTCATCATCATCATCGCGCTTATTATGGGATCGGTGGTTCTTCCTAGAGTGTCTCCGTCTTCGCCTTTCCTCTTCATATCTGTCAGAAACATCACTATCTTCATCTGAGTGATGTGACTGGTGGTGCTTCTTCCTCTTAGAACGTCTATGTTCCTTCCTATCTTCACTTCTTTCTCCTTTGTCATCATCTGGCATATGCTATGAAAAGAAATAGAGAGATAAATTACAAGAGATTAAAAAACTCAATAATTCTCAACTACAAGTTCAAATTCATCTATTTATATACTACATATTTCTCTTATTTAATGACAAAGAAGCCTAAAGATATCATTCCCCTCATATTCTTTTTCTTTCTTGTTTTTGTATCCTTTCATTTATATATATATATATATATATTCTTTTTATCCTTTTTATTCTACCATTGTTATGTATATGGATCTCTTTTATATTATCTTTTGTATCATATCTTATCTTTTTATCTTTCTTATCTTTAGTTTCCTTTTGGTTACAATATCATGTATCGATTCTTGTTAGCCAACCTCAAAATCTTTTGGGACTAAGGCTTGGATGTTGTTGTTGAATTGATTTAGAAATAAAAAGAAATATCAACTACCCAAATCTTTCTTTAAAAGGAAAAGTAAAAAACTATTATGCACAGCCCGAAAACAAATTAGGGAAAACAAAGGTTGAACAAAGGGAAAACAACATTTTAAAAAATGATCATCCTAATTCATTTTCTTATGCATTTTCCTATGGTAAAATCGAACACAGGAAAAGAACTTTTGTTATCATTGTTTTCCTTTCCATATCATTTTCCAGGGTCCAAACATACCCTTAAAGATTTGTGATCACTACCAAGAGATTGATGTTCCGTTTCTCCCTCATCCTCTTCATCCTCTTCATGTCTCGAAGCATTTGATCTGTACTTCCTCATTGATCGCTTTGCACTGTACTCATCTATGAATTTCAGTCCTTCACCTTGGTCTGAACGATTACCATCTAATTGACCAGAATAATGTGGTTCTGATGACACTGCACGTGAAGGCTCACCTTTAAGTGAAGGGACAGACCTATTTTTCAGCATAGCCACAAACATCTTTGCCTTCTTCAACCTCTCCGCTTTCAGCTGCTGTTCCTTACTTAACTGTGGATCACAAGAATCGGCTTCTGCACTAGTCTCAGCATTCTCAGCAGTTTTTGAGAATATTGCTATATTGGGATTCTTGATGCCCCTGGCAGCCGCTTGAAGTATCGCGGCAGCCGAAGCGGCATCTACACTGAACCCTCCATTCTCTTGCTGTGGTGCTTTATCTAACTGTTCCTGCGATTCCTTCTTTGATTTCCCAATCACCATCTTAAATTTCTCCTTCTTATCATTTTCATAAGGAAGATCACCATCACCAGATACTAAAGACAATGACGCTCTTTCTTCTGGTCGTTTCCCAAGTGAACCATCACTCCCAGATTGTAAGCTATTGCCACTGTATTTTGTCTGTAACAAGAGGTGGCACGTTGTTTAGATTGCAGGGAGAGAGATCAATTTACTTTAATACGGCACAAGGATATAAGATGTGGCATACAAAATAAAGGTTTCATCTTCACATAATAATAAAATCAAAACCAGACAGAATATTAAGCTGCATTCAAGATAAAGGTTTCATGTTCTCATAGGTTTGATAGACTACTAAAGCTCAACTGAAGCAAGGTGTGGCGCAGTAGACAGCCTTGTAGCCTAGGCGACTGAGCGATCGCCTGAGCAACAAGTAGATGTACACAATACTTGGATATAACTTTTAATAAAAGACTAAGAAATACAATCTATGGATTGCTACTTTATGATGTTAATTCAAATCAAAAGTGTAATAATAATTAAATTATTGAGCTTCTGCAAACAAAATTAGCATCCTTCACATACTAAAGAAATGAAAAAATCATAAAGAATAAAGTTTACTACACATAAATAAAGATATGAAATGAAGAAAGAAGAAGAAAGGGGAAGATAAAAAGAAGTGAAGGGAGAAAGAAAAGACAAACTTGGATTGTGATGCAGGCATTTATTTTTAGATGTCTTTTCACTTTATTCTGTTCAGGGCTTTTTCAAATTTTAATGCTGCCACTTAAATTAGGAAAAAACAAGTTATGTTGCCGGGTCAAAATCAATTTGGAAAAAAACTCGATTCGAAGCATGATGGTCAAAATTACAATCCAGATCATTGTATCATGAGATAATGTGCTTGTTACTACTTTCAGCGGTCTAGTTTTTACAAAATATAAAGAAGTGAGTAGGATTGCCTGGATCATTGTGTAAAATCACAGGCTCGTAGGGTCATTTAAGAGTAATGATTTGTATACCTTAAATGTTGGTGATTTGTATGCCTTAAATGTTGGAAAGACTGAACCGTCTGAAATTTAGAAATGTCGGGAGAGCATTTGGAAGTTGTGGGAAAGTTGGATGTTTAGGTAAATGTAGGAAAAAATCGGAAGCATCGGAACTTGTGGGAAACTTCAGGAAATTTAAAAACAAGTATACACCAAGAACAACATCCAAGAAGCAGGTATTTAATTGCTTATTTCTTCATGTGTATATCTACTTCGTGCTGGTGATTATATGCTCCTAAGTCCTAACTACTTTCAGAGGTCTAGTTTTACAAAATATCGCAAACTGAGTGGATCGCATGGATCGCCGTGTAAAATCGCAGGCTTCTAGAGTTTTTTAATAATAGTGATTTGTTTACCTTAACTGTTGGAAAAAAACAGAATCATCTGAAAATAAAAAAATGATGGGAGAACATTTCGATGTTGTGGGAAACATCAGATATTCAGGGAAATGTAGGGGAAAATCTGATGTGTCGCTAGTTGTGGTATACTTGGGTCCTGCAGTTTAGAATCTTTAGGTCCTTTTCAATCATACTTAGGCTCTCGAGTTTGCGTACCATCTACCGTGATTCTCAGTGTTGCCAATTGCCATGCACACCTCAGCCAATGCCTAAATGACACCATTCAATTATCAGGCAAGGAGACCAGAAATGGTGAGGCATTCTTGACCGCCAGGACGCCTAAACGATACCATGACAACCATGTAACCAAATAATGTGTTCCCCACACCATCCCAAACAGCCCCATTTCCTGTCAATAGCACTACTACATCTAAAAAACTTAGTTGATCAAAGTAAACGTTCTAGTTTGGGTAAGGTGCAACAATCACAAAGATGTCTAAAACGTATTGGTTAGTTTGGCTAGATTTGACATATGTAACTTGTATGTTACTCTTTTTGGCAATTACTACATTTTGAAAGTTTTTTAAAGTGAAATCCCATACTTTTGTCAAAAAAATGTTTGTGAAATGAAGCTCATTTTGAGGAAGGAGAGTGTTCAGTTTAAGTTCTACAATCTCAGTCCTCCACACAACTTAGAATGCAGAATATTTTAACAACAAAGCCTGATGTGTTATCTCAAAGCAGACCTAAATGTGAAGTGAATATTACATCTTGTTTAAACCAATATTAGAGAGAGAGAGGTCACCTCTTGAGAACCATGGAGAACTTTTAAATAGTAAGGATGATACATGTTGGATGGGAGAAGAAACGGAAACCTGCAATGCTTATTATCCTGTTCTATAAGTGTTGCTTCAAACTGCTTCCCATTCTTCCGTATGAATTCAACAATCTTGCCAATCAATTTTTTCAAATCGGATGGAGGCTCTAGAGCCACAGGTTCAGTCTTAAGTGTTATCCCAAGACCAGATGCCTTAAGCTTCTCTAGTGCTGCATGAACAGACACAGATACATGGTCATCTTTCGGTTTTTTATGACTTGTGCTTCCACCGTTAAATCCACCAACCAGAGGATTCTTTTTCAGAATATGAGTTTTCTCATTATCTAAACCACCAGAATGAAAAGGATGTTTCAAAACTGACTCATCTTGCTTAGGCAAAAGTGCACTAAATTGTTCCTTCTGTGCATTAGGGACTGCATCAACAGCTTCATCGGAGGTTGTTTTGTTAGAAACATCCTCGTCCTCTCCTGATCCATAAACAGAACCAAGCAAGGATAATGCACCGTCTGGCTCATTGACAACCTTTCTTTCTCCAGTTTGTGGTTTCATGTCACCATTGGAATGCAAAAGCTCTTGGTGATCAACAAGAAACCTATAATATGGATGTAGGTGATGATCTGGCATTAAGAAGCCAAATGTTGGGTTATCTCCCTGTTTCACCCTCAAAACAATTTCAGATTGCCCACCATGACTACTAACAAATAGAGCAGTCCTTGCAATTATTTGATGGACCTTCTCAGATGGTGGCTGGAAAATAAAAAATCAATACGTTTTCCGTCAAAAGTTGGCTTCAAATACATTAGACTATCAAATAGAAACTACAATCTTACAAAATAATCTCATGATCCAAATTTAATCAGATGTGTGGAGTAATTGCCTACTAGGAGAGTTTTTACAATATGATGATCATTAAGTAGAGCATTTCCTCTCAAGCAATATAGATTACTGTCCTTGCAAAGAAACATTATTACATTCCTAATCCCACCTGTGAATGGCAACCTTAGATGACATTAACTCCACTGCTCCGAGCATTTGAATTCTGAAATCTTAGACATGGTGAGGAATAGTATAGAATTTAGGCACTCGTCTCTTCCACATGGTGAAACATTGTTAGCAAGTAACAGACAATGCCAACAGTCATAAAAGTAGACTGAAGCACATAAACTCACCAAGCATTGAAGAAGGTGTTCAGGCACATTGAAGGGAGGACGAAATCCAGAGCTATGAATCCCCATATCATGGCTCACTTCTTCAGCTTCACCATTGACATTTCCATAAGAGAATGGGATGGCATTGTATCTACCTGTATTATTGTCTAAATGTACACCATCTTCTTCTTTTTCTGTACAGAAAAGAGCCATGTGATTATAGAAGCCCGAACATAGAATATCAGTTCCCTTTAAATCTAACAAGTGTACGGCCAAATCATTTCTATATGGACCTTGTGTCATGTGATCAATCTGTACAGCAAACTACTATTTCCTATCACACTTACCTATAATTACCATTTCTTATTCTAATTTATACGTAGTTATTAACCAATCAAAATTCCCAAAGAAGTGTGATTTAGGGGGTGTTTGAATCTGATTCTTAAAAATGCATGAGTGTTTGTGTAAAAACTGATTCCTATTCTGATCCCAGGATCGGTTCCAAACACCCCTTAAGGAATAATCATGAATTGCGCTTTGTAACTTCAAATCATAAACCAAACCATTAATTGAAAAAAAGGCGTCTGAACACATAACGCACTAAAGAAGAAAATCTAAAAAAAAGTGCTTCTCTCCACTGAGCTCAGTTGATAGAAGGAACATACTGTGTACGTGCCAACGGAAACAAATGCATCGTATCAAATGAATCACCTTGATGATTAACAGATATTGGAAGATCGAGATAGCGTTCCAAATCTAGCTCGGATTTAAGAGACGAGTCGATAGCATGAGATAGAGAAGTAAGCGACCGCCTGGTTTGCAGAGGTGGGGAAGAGAGAAGGTGACGGACGTCGTAGCGGTCGATAATGAGAGAGTTCCATTCGACAAGCGCATCCGTGGAGTTGACAAAGGCCGCCATGGCATCGTCATCGAAGAAAAGAGCGTGACGACCCACCACCTCCAGATCCATAGGTCCTGTATCACTCCTGGATGAGGAATTAAGAATACTCGAAGAAACCCTAGTAAGCGGCGACCTAAACAAAGAGAAGATTTCTATAACACGCTTATTTCAATCCAGACTATCCAGCTTGCACTTTGCAGTCCTCAATACCTCGACTGCAATCGTTTTTTTACACAGTTTAAATAGCGTTTTAACTCCATCATTTCTTTCAATTAAACGAAAATGTTTAATGTACACACGTTATACACGTTTTGTACAAAGGGAATGGTTGCAACTGCCGCTTCTGATTAAAAAAAGTACTTTTGAAGATGTAATGAAAAAGTGATTAGTAGTAAAAGTTGATAGTGTGAGAAAAAAGTGATTTTGAAAAGTAAAAGTTGGTAGTGTTTGGTAAAATAAGTGTTTTTTGTGTAATAGAAAAGGGAAAAGCACTTTTCACAACAAGCCGAGAAAAAGTAAAAATTGGAAGTGTTTGGTAAATAAGTGCTTTTTTAAGCCAAAAGCTGAGAAATGCTTTTTTTAAGCTATTGCAAACCCTCCCAAAGTATATATAGCTTTTTTACTTTTTTTTACCAATCACTTTTCTCCATTTTCACATTCACCCCTTTCTCTCTCTCATCTTTGGCCTGTGCGCTCCTCTTCGACGGAAACTCCTCCCCCTCTTCTCCAGTTCTCAACAAACCCTCTTCCCCTCTCCCATTGTCTGTGAACCGTCATCTTCAATGAAAATTCCTCCCCCAACTCGTTGTCACCTGCTGGACGCTCTTTGGGACTTCGCCCTAGCCCTAGCTAAGTCGATAAGTCCTCTTCTTTCCTTGGATTCCTAGCCGACGAACCGAGACTCTATGTTAACTTTTTTCAAAAAGTTCAAATTACTGGAGAGTGAACTTTATTTGAGGTACTGCTTAACTTATGAAATTTATTTTCAGCTTACCCTAAAAGAAATTTGATTGTTTGTGCAGAAAATTTATAAAAGTTGCTTCAATTTTGGATCTTATACCAGTAACTCCTTTAAATCACTATCCAGCATGGAAACATGGCCAAACTTATAAAAACAGGGATAAGGTTCAGTTGATGTGTATTCACTGCCAGAAGATATTCATAAATGGGGGGGGGATTTTATACTAAGGACATTTGATTGTCAAGAAGGGAACGACTGAACTTGTTTCAGAGTTGAACCTGATGTTCAGTTTTAATGCCAAAGTGCTTGGATACTACCCCAAATGAAGGCTAAGAAGCATAAAAGTTCCATGAAGATAAACAAAACCGTTGATTCCTTAGTAATGAACTATCAACAGTCAGCATCATATAAATGCTTGAGAGGAGGAAGGTGTAGTAGATTTGTGCTTAGATTTAATTGTTTGTTTTTAATTGTTAACTGTTTATATAGCAAGAAACCAGAAACTGCGGAGTATAATTTAAGGGAAAGTGGAGGTATTGCATATGATTTGTGCACAATACTCTAATAACAACAATTAAGAGAAAAATCATTATTGTTCTTTTATTTTTGTAGGATTCCTAGATTTATGTGACTATAACTAATTTCTTCACACACTATCAGTATTAATATTTTCTTGTTCAAATGACTAAAACATTGAACCTAACTATGCATTATGTTTCTTTTAAAGGAATCTATCCTCCAATAGCATAAATGATCCCATACCGATTGAGCTTTCTCGTATTGGGAACCTTGATACACTGTAAGTTATTTTTTGTAGGTGCTTACTTTATTTGTTTTCTTGTGAAAACTTTAAAGTTTAAACACTTCTCTGTTTGATGTGGATCTTAGTTTCTCTCTTTTTCTCTTGGATGGCCAAGGACCTTTCAGATAATAAGATCAGTCGTTCAATTCCTTCTTCTCTTGGTGATCTTGAACATCTTCTGAAATTGTGAGTTTATTAATATGTTGGGCAGGCTAGCTCTATTACCTCTCATGTAGGTATTGTTTTTGTTGACACTGTAAATTTGTTACTGCTGCAGGAACTTGAGTAAGAATGATATCACTGGACAAATACCGGGTGAATTTGGAAATTTGAGAAACATCATGGAAATGTACGGAATCTTTTCTCCCAATACATCTTATTGAGATGATGACCAAATTTTTATTATAGAGTTCGGACTTGTATAATTGTATTATCTTACATTGATATTTCAAGCAATCACCTTTCTGGAATAATACCTCAAGAACTCAACCAACTTCAGTATCTCTTCTTGCTGCAAGTGAGATTTGATAAAAAAAAATGTATCAACTATTTATTGTTTATTACTACCTCCGTCCCACTAAGATTGGGACGGAAGAAGGTGACACGATTATTAAGAAAAGTGGGTTTGTGTGGTTGATATTAAATTGATAAAGTAAGAATGATTTAGAGCCACACAATCTTTACCAAATTTGGTATGGGACAATCTTAGTGGGACTTCCCGAAAAGGTAAAATGGGACAATCTTAGCGGGACGAGGGAGTATTATTCATTACTATATATGACAGTTGTCAAATCTAAATTCTCATAGTCAACTTTTGTTATATATGGATGATCCAGGAAAATAGAAAACAACAACTTATCAGGTGATGTGATGTCATTGTCAAATTTCCCAGCTCTTAATGTTTTGTAAGTGTTGAACTTAATCAAGACCCGACTTTCATTTTGCCCCTTAAACGACATTGTTGTGTGACTAATTTCACATACTGGAATTTTGTAGAAATGTCTCATACAACAATTTAGCTGGGAATGTACCAACGGGAAACAACTTCTCAAGGTTTTCACCCGATAGGTACAAACTATTGTCAAGTTTGTTTGGCCATTCAGTTTTTTTTTGTCAAACTTGTGTAATTATTTGACTCATCTTATCTTTAGTTTTATTGGAAATCCGAGTCTATGCGGATATTGGCTAAAGTCTTGTCAAGAACCTCATCCGAGAGAGCGAGGTAAGACTAACTAATCGATTGGATTCAATAAGTCATTCAACTCTGGGGTCAAATTCCATTTCCTTTCTCCAACAATGAGTTATCTACTCCCTCCATTAAACAATAAACAAATAAGGGAAGATAAGTGATTTTTTTTTTTCTAAAGCCACATAGGGACATGAAATTGAATACATGAAGACTCGGTGACTTGTTTATGGAAAGAATAAATACATGACCTTGTATTTGTATCTCTTGCATTCTGAAAGCTAAAACTGGTTTGATACAAAATTAATGAGAAACCAGACACTCTGTGGGTTCCCTTGTAGCATTTGAGGCATATTTCGAAGCACCCGAGTGTGTAGCTGCACTTATTCTTGTTGCCCCTTCCATTTTTGCACCATTTACCTCACCCAAACAAGGCCGAAATGGATGAAAAAGTCATACAGAAAACGAGAACTCAGATTCATCTGGCAATAAAAAGAATGTGTTTGGGAGGATTTTGACCATTTTGTTGAAGTTTATCAAATATGTTGCACAAGCAATATCAGGCATTGTCAAAGGAACGGGGAAATAATGAATTCTCTATATAGAAAAGCTTTAGCAGCTCTCCTACGCTATGTTGTTGGCCTATTGCTCGTAATGAAATATGTTCTATATATGTTTGATTTGAATTATTTACATCAATTTCCAAAATGGTTATGTTTTTATTTCCGGTCAGTAGATAAAAAGGAAGCAACAACACAAAATGGTGTTCATTCTCTCGGATGCTTATGTCTTATTAGAGTTCTCGTTGCATGAATGATATGGATAGGGCTCATTTTTACATTTGCGCTACAATAAATTCAGAAATGCTTCATCATGAAATAGCACAGAGACTTCACCACATGGAGAAAGAAAGGTTGTTAGTGGAGATGATCGGTCATTTTGTGGAATTGTTTATGGATGTGTAAAGTGATACAGTGTTATTGTGTAACCAGTCACATTGTAATGCAAACATTCTTGTATTTAGAATGTAGTAGTATTTAGATTTGCATTTATTATCAAAGATGTATCTTATTGTGAACTGGGCATTGATAAACAAATGATGAGAAATCAATCATTTTAAAAGTCAAGAATGAGAGTTTCAAAGCAAAAGATATAAGATGTTTTATTTTGTTTGCCACTTGAGTGTCGAATGTGCTATGAATAATTGTCTATGAAAGTGATATGAAATGTTTGGCCACAGACAATGATCACTGGAACAGGCTTATTTGTTAAGTGGTATTGTGTGTGAACCAAACATGAAACGTCCAGCCACAGACAATGACCACTTGAACGGACTAATGTACTACACGAAAGTGTCTATGAACTTGATATGAATTGTTTGGGCAAAACAATAGTTGCTGAATTCGGCTAATGAGATATTGTGCTAAGTGGAGTTGTCTGGTCACAGGCAATAGCCACTGGAACGGGGCAAATGTGCTAATTGGAATTGTCTGTGAACGTGACATGAAATGTCTGGTTATTAACAATAGCCACTGAAACAATTTAATCTGTCAAGTGAATTTATTTAAAGGAGATTCTTAATTGTCTGGTTATAATTGATGTTTAGGTTGAAGCGGTTGAGTTGGGAATTATGGAAAAATTATACTTCGTATTTTGAATATATTTTATTAAAAAAATAAAGAAATATTTATATGAAAAAATAGCTCAAAATATATTCTACAATAATTTCAACCAATTCATCTAACCAATTCATCTTATTTCACTTACCTCAATAGCCCGTCCCAATGACTATTGCCTGTGACCAGACAATTCATGTATGGTTCACAAACCATATTACTATACACGCTTCGAATGACTTATTAACATGCTAAGTGGAGTTGTCTTGCATCAGGCATTAAATGTTTGTGAGATCATTTTAATCAGTTTTTTGTTTAGCACATTAAATTATTTTAAAGTGTCAATCTCACTTAGCACATTAGGTCATCCAAGTGGTTATTGCATGTGACCAGACAACTCATGTCTGGTTCACAGACAATATCATTTAGCATGTTAGGTCATTCCAGTGACTATTGTCTGTGACCAAACATTTTATATCTGATTCACGGACAATTGCAATTACAGCACATTACGTCATTCGAGTGGCGATTGCTTGTCATCGAGCAGCTAATGTCTGGTTCACAGACAATACCATTTAGTACTTTAGGTCATATTATCTGTGACCGAACATTTAATTTTTGATTCACAGACAATTCCACATTGTGCAAAACATGTTACAACTGAAAAATTTATACATCTTGACATACTTAAGTAT